AAGCAATTTCTCTCTATCTATATTTACTTTGTTCTTTTTCGCTACTAGTAATAGTGTCTTTTTAGCACTTTCAGTTTTATCGTTTAGTAATTGCCATCGGGGACTTTCTTTCAATACAAATATTAGTAATAGGAATGCTATTGAAGGTGTGTAAATAGCTGCGACAAGATGTTTCCAGTAAGGCACGAACATCGCAATGATAGCGTAAAAAGTCTCTCCAAGATAAACAGCATAAGCGAATATAACTCCTGCTAAAACTCTGTTATTTTTACCACCGATTTCTATCACTGAAATACAAAGAATATGATTATTAACACGTTCCATGTGATGATTTGTATTTAAGTGAACAAGCGAATCGGTGGCACTGACGTGTTAAATAATAATCGTCGAAAAAACAAACAATTAAAACTATTTCCACTGTGGCGTTTTAGCGACGTCTTAAATCTGGGGTGTAAAGGTTGTCAGGAATGTTCAAAAGGCGCTCGGGCGCCCGGTTCTGGAGGACACCAGCCATTGTATTCACTACTTTTGACAAAACTTGTCACCCGGACGCCTTACGTGGTTGAAACGGCCCTGTTGTTAACATTAATAATAAAAGCGTACAGTGTATGTACTGTTTAGTATTTTGTGTATATTGCGATGTATTCTGTCTGTTATTTAACCTACTTAATACCATGCCAGCCGTGTACGCTCCGCTAGATATTGTCGCTTCCAGCATTTCTATCAACACGTACACAGAGTAGGTCGATGTGAAGATTTTCAACAGACCGACGCAGCTTCCCACCGAGCACATGATCAATGTTGGCATACGACCAAATCTGTAAACATTTGACATGAAATTTCACAGCTGAATCACGTTAAAAGTTAATATTTGAGTAATGTCATTTGAAAAACTTGTCATAGCAATATAAATGGTGCCAAATGATAGTACAAGAGCTATCTCATTGTGACAGTTTGCTAAATTCAATCCTAAATGGCAAGCGAAATAAACTCTTTAATTTTACATACCTATCACACAGCCATCCTGAAGCCATCATTGCTAGGGACATGCCAATGTTGTGCATTGTACCAATTAGATTTATCTTCCATGGTTGACATCCGAGATCCAGCTGAAATACACAGAGATAGAGTTTAAAGATTTACATTTAAGTTGAATAGATTAATCATCATCATCAGCCTTTATCTCCCCATTGCTAGACATACGTCTTCTTCAATTACAACCATAATATGCGGTGTTTCCGCATAAGATAAGATTAAGAAGCAATATATAAGTTTTTGACATTGATAACAATTCAATAGTCTGATAACGTTGATGCTGTTATCGCTCGGCAGATTTTTTTACTTGATTTACTAACCTCAGCAACAACGGTGTCATTAGTTTCGTAGACCCATTCTGTGCACACCGCGACAGCGTCAGAGAAACTGTCATTGGTGCACGTTCCTCCTGTCGGTTCCTTGATTAGTGGCCTCGTACACCTATCTATATTCTTGTTTGGCCACCACGTTGTGTTATACACTGGATACTGATCCTCACATTCTGGTATACGACATCTGTAATCAGAAACAAATAGGTTCTAATATAAAGCTAATTAAGTTCGTGTTTTGCACGTCTTAAAAGGTTTTTAACTTTCCATTTCTTTTTTAACTTTAACTTTTGTACTTTTATTTTCCATACACGCCGATTCATCCGTTGTTCATGCTTGGTTGTATTTCAAAATATAAATATTTCTAATAACTTCATTAAAACATTACTTACCTATAATTAATATCTCCAGCAACGAAGACGTAGTTAACATTAAGCATGGTCACGACTATAGCAGGCAGACATATCAAGAAGTACTGCAGCATCTGATATCTGCCAAACTTCTCCATCGTCTCTATTATTTCTATCTCTTTCTTTTCTTTTATCTTTATCTCCTCCTTCTCATTTCGTTCTATGTCATTTCTTTCCATTTTAAATGTATTTTCTACGTTTATCACAAGGTTTTTTGTTTACACTTCACTTCACAACACTGTTGTAATTTACGATTAAAACATTGTTATAGTAATTATTCTTGATTTTTTTGTTTCTTTTCACTTACATTCTTAACCTTTATTTATTTTTTAAATAAATTACTATATTATTTTTTACGTATACACTTCAGAACAATTTTTTCTGAAATAAAAATATTTTAACTAAACCTACACTTTTAAGTAGACTTTATCAGTGACATACAAAATTGAAGAAAAAACAAGGTCATTTGAATATTAATTCAACGTACGTGAGAAGTCAAGAACTGCACAGCAAAAAAACATGAGGAAAACACGATCCAAGATTTGAATCGAACAAAAACTAAATAAGATATATAAAATTGCGCGAATAACCGGTTGTAGTTGATATTTAAAGCTATCACACACTTTCCAACTTACAAAGTAGGTACGGTCGCGTCGTACCACGCCACGAAACGTTCGATTCTGAGCGTCAAATCACGTAAATTGCAGTAATAACTAGTCGTTCCAGTGAAAAGGTGGTTTAAATTATATATTATATTAACTCATACGTTAAGCATATGCATAGAATATATAAATTTTAAACAAGCGTAAAATTGTTAACTAAATTTACTAAAGAAAAAGTAACGAAAAAATATTTTTACTGAATAATATATATCTTTTTAAATTTCACTAGTTATGTAGTTCAGACACTTTAGAACACTTACCTACTTCCCAATATAAGATTACATTTAAACTTGACATTTTTATCAAGAAGTGATAATACTAGTTTTTTTAACGTAATTTAGACCGTGAAAATCATCATCATAGAATATTTGAAGATTGGGGACAGCGCCATCTATTTTGTCTAATAAACATTTCTTGCGTAATTTTTTTACATAATTTTAATGATTTAATAAATTCATTTAAAAGAAAAAGTAAAGGATTTTTTTCAGGTGTATTATAAAAAAAGGTTAAGTTTTAAAGTACACTGTGGAAAGTTTGGATAGTTGACATCATCTTGTCTTACTTAACATTACGCCCTTTTAAATTGCCTTAAACGATCCACAACGCATGTTGCCAAACTAACTAATTGTACCAATCTATACTTATTACACTACGCTTACAACTTGAGTCACTCTTAAACACACGACAAACAAAACTATAATACTTAATTGTTAAATTATATTTCAAACTTTTATAATATTAATAATTGGATGAAAGAGATTTCATGATTCATCGGATTCACTACAAATTTTCTAAAAACACAATGCCATTTATTGTCAGAATATTGTCTTATACCAAATATTGTCAAGTCATTATAGGAAATGGACAAAAATTCCTGGAATGGAGGTCACGAAATGGTATGAATGTGGGGCGTACAAGTGGACTGAAAACTTAGTAGGCAAGGCAGAAACTAGGGAAGTCATAGAATACGGAAGAACAGCATACTATGGAAGGCATTAGGAAAGAAAAAATAATTAAAATACATTTAAAAACACACACACATTATAATATATGACACATTTCACTTAATTTTAGGGTCACTGACACTAAAAAAATTACCTATAACGGACAACACTGAATACAATTAACTCTGCCTACCCCTTTAATTATCACTGTGAATGATTTTTAATTCAACTCTTTACTAATACTTTCGTCATAATTAACCAAAAACTAAACGTTGTTGCCCGCCAACGACATAACGCGGTGTGTGCTAAAAATAAACTAATACGGTACAATCTGCTTGCAAAACAACCCGAAACCATGTAGACTGAAGACCCGTTAGCGGACCGGATTCGCGAATTGACGTTTGACGTTTGTGAATACAGCCAGATTGTCAGACAATACTTTGTGGTGACAACTGATACCATAATAAAACTGATTAAAATTTTGTCTGCCGTATCTGCTGGTATTCAATGATTATACGTATGGAACAATGTGCTTTATGACTATATTAACCACAAAGGCGACGCCGTTCATCACTACACCAAATTCGTATGCAACACGCGACCGTGTGTTCGAAAATGATACATTGGAAGAAAAAAAAAACATGAAGCATCAACCACACATAGAGAATATAAAAATTAAATTTTTTATACTACAAACTAACGTATTTTACTTATTACACTGTTTCTGTTTTGTTAACAATTACGCAGGGAAAGAAATATTCCTTTATAAATATTGTTGCAACAAAGATTTTTGTTTACATTTTTGTAAATCCACTAACAGCAAACGTGAATGTAAAATACATTGTTCACAGAATACTAATTTACTGCAAGACAAAAAGAAATAAAATCTCCAACTGTGTAACAAATTACCAGTTTTACATGACGGTGACTTCCCATTGTTTCAAACCTTGTATAAAAACATATCATCATCCCGCTCATTCTGTTTGAAAAAACAAAGACAACAATAATATGTTTTAAGACCACGGAGTTTAAATTTTAGTCTATGTTAAATCCAAGTTACAAACTTTTTGCTTAAATTAAACTTACTTTATTCTTTTGTTTTCTTATATTATTTTTAATCGACGCACTTGATTATAAATAAAAACATACTTAAACAACCACTTGAAACTGTATAAAGTGCACTTGTGTGGAAAAGGTAATTTTGATTGTCAATTCTCACAGAGTAGAAATAAACAGACAGTAAATGAGCTAAGAAAATGTATTATAAAATTTATTGCAATTTATAATTTAAATACCTTCATTGTGCATAAGAATCGAACTGAATTTTTATCCTCTGAAATACTACTAACATAACTACATTAATAAATTTTAACCATATCATTAGAGACTTAGTTACAAAAAACAACAGAATTATTCAAATCTTATCTACAACTTTACTTTTGCTGACAAGGCTAAATTCTCAAATCCGCTCGATATAAGATCAGCTTAACTAATATTTATCGGTCACATTTGCTGTTCATGTGGACGCACGCTCAAATAGTTTCACTTGTATGTCCTTTCTGTGTGATAGCTTTACTCTTTGTACGATTAAATATCCATGGCAACACGAAGATACAAAACCGTTTAAAACACAATGTACGCCCAGTGTTGTTAAGTTGGTAGGACTGTCGATCGCGCCTTAACATCGCGTCTTATTCCATCGTAATTCGTAAGTGATTTCTAGTAAAAAGATACAATTAAATCAAAAGTTTAATAGTGCGTCGAAAGTATTCAATTTTTAACATTGAATTTATAGTTTTAATGCCGTTTAAATTGTTTAACGCCATTTACTGAGTATTTTGAAATTCAATTTAGTCACTAATCCTGTTGTTCCAAATGAGATATTCTATAACATAGATTATAATTTTTTGGAGCGTTCAGAGCACAAAAATGAGGCATTTTTGAAGTCCTCCGGGGGCATTTTTGTGGTAAATTTCTCTAGTTTATATAACGCAATTTACATAATAAATAAATCAAAAGATAAGAGGTTGCAATTATTCTTATTTTTATTTCTTAGTTTTAGTAAAGTTTAGTAAGTTAAAAATTGTAATTAATCGTGGCATTTTTTAAAACACCTATATTAACAACTATTTTTTTTTGTATTTGTTAAATATATTTGGTTTTAATTAGGTTTGAACAAATCTTATACTTTATTTTACTATTAATTTTTCTACACTTAATGTTCCTCAATTTGGGATTGGATTAGGATTGGAAAATAGTCTTCCGATTAAACGCCAAACTTGTATGAATCGCTCAATCTAGAGTTAATATATCTATATTCTAAACATATAAACCACATAAATTTGTAACAGAACACACTGTTCACTCTCTCGCCTTGTTTAAGGCCATTGACCCATAGACTGTATCATAAACCAATGAAATACATGAGACTTAATCAAGTTAAACAAGTTTAAGTTATATTTGATTTGTATATCACTACTTCACCTTATAAGATATGGAAAAAAATCATCGTTAATATTTAAATAGCACTTTATATAGATAAATACTTAGATAACGGTGTAGGGGTACTATCCAGGTGATTTTAGCTTGGCAACAAATAATAGAGTAAGGTATAAAATTTTCTAGAACCCAAAAATGTGCTAGAATATACGATTCTAGTAAATGATTATTATGGATCTGGCCAAAAAGAAGACATTTTTAAACTGTCTTTTTACCATATTTTTTATTTATTTTATTAAGATATTTTAATAGCATTAATATCTTCCATCATCAGATAATGCCGAAGGTGTCAGTGACGTACTTCAATGTGAAGGGTTTGGGTGAAGGCATACGTATGTTGCTGGCCTACGGCGGACAGGAGTTCGAAGATGTCCGCGTTGACAAAGAACAATGGCCGGACTTGAAACCTAGTTAGTAAACGATATTTTTCGAGACTCTATTCTAATTCAGTTTGTGCATTCTGTTTAATTCTATACTACGTGTAATAATTTCTGTTTCTTCTCAGAGACGCCATTTGGGCAGCTGCCTTTACTTGAGATAGATGGCAAGCAGTACGCGCAATGTATTGCTATCTGCCGTTACCTCGGCCGCAAGTACGGTCTGGCTGGTACCACACTAGAAGAGGACCTGCTCATCGACCAGAACATGGATTTCTTTAATGACATTCGGATGAGTAAGTTACTCAAATTCAGTACAAATGTTTATAAGGGCAGGACGTATTTGATTGCGAAAGCGAAGTTTTGCGTAGAGCACAAGTAATTTGGGCCTATGTTAAACTATAGACTATTTTAGGTAAATATTAACAATAAAAAATTTTTATAAAAATTTTATATATATTACTATAACTTAGGAGTTACTAAGATGGTGATTAGTCAAGATATGTTATGCTCTCTCGATAAAAGAGTAACTAATAGCTTGTCCGATTTTTAAATCAAGTACTTACATGATTTTTACGCATTTCATCATTGAAGAGGCTGTGGCAGCAAATTACGAGCCTGATGAAAAGGTCAAAGCCGCCAAGCTGGAGGATCTCAAGAAGAATCATTTCCCATTCCTATTTAGTAAATTGAATGAGATAATAAAAGAGAACAACGGATTTTTAGCTGCCGGGAGGGTACGTATGAATCAATATTACTGAAAGTACTATTTTTAACAGTCTAATCACACCCAAGGGGTAGACTCGAAGTCCTTTAGTGGGGACGTATAGTGAGCTGATGATTACAATTATTAAATATATTGCGGCGTCTTTACAAGATGATAAGATATATAGGACAGGTATTTAATTATTTTCCTTGTCGTTATGTGTTATTTCAGTTAACATGGGCTGATTTTATGTTCGCCGGCGTGTACGACGCCCTTAAAATGTTCACACATATACCAGACCTGGACGAGAAGTATCCCAGTTTCTCCAAATTGAGGGACACCGTGCGCTCCCTGGCCAAAGTTAAAGAGTTCTGTGAATCCGCGCCCAAGACAGATTTTTAGTTTTTATATACGACTAAATGGATGTTACATTATGTCAGTATTTCTTTTATTTCTATCATTATGTTATATTTTTAATAGACAAAATATCCTTTTCCAGCTGAAAAAATTGGATCAAAGGTATCTTTGTTGATAAGAGTCGTTATTGTGTATTTCAATTTTTATATTAAAACATATATCTGTTATAAAAAATTGTTTTTGTTTATATTAGCAATATTCCTAATTAATTAGAAATTCACTAACATTTGCAAACGATAACACGATAAATTTTCAATAAAATGCAATATTATTCCTTATACTCAATTTCATATAGTTCTACTTATATTCAAACTCTCTCAGCCGTAAATTGTAGTATCCAATAACTAATACCATGAAATAAGCCAATTAAAATGGCCATACCCATGAATTTCCACTAGCAAAATGTGAAGAAAAACACATTATCGTCGTCTTTATTATCTTTACGGCAAACAAATTGTGTTAACACGATGATTTCATAGTTATGATGACAACATTCTGTAACATTACTTGTGAAAATGGAGGAGGAGGTCCTAAAAAATATTCGTATAATTCTCACCAAGAAAATTAAAACGGTTTATTAGTCTATGAAGTATGAAATAATATATTTACTCTTTTTCTTTCACATGGAATATGTATTTTGCTCTCGAGGTTGACCTTGGACTTGCGCCGGCGCCGGGGGCGTAGCAACGTAGACTATTTTTATTCCTGCTATTTATTGTTACTATACAAAATAATTATATTATTTGCATACAGTATAAATAAGCGGGTAATGGCTTAAAATTCTGGACTAATTTTGAGGGGAATTTTACTGGTATGTAGTTTATGGTAACCTAGACTTTTTTAATTTGGTACTGACGAAGTCGCAGTTGACCACTAGTCTGTAATAAAATTGATGCTTTTATTTGCACAACATGACCAATTTTACAAACAATTTCTTTACCATGATAACAAGATAAAAGTTTACTCTCTGTATGTATACTCTGTGAAAATAAAAGTCCAAGGTCACGCGCACACAAAACATGGCCATTGGTCAATAGCCGGTTGTTGCTAGTTGGTACGGTTGGTACTACTGACGCCGGCAGTCGGCTGTTGGAGCAGTTTTCTAGTTTCACGTCAACATTGTGTTGGCAGAGTGCATTCCAGATATTTTTTTTATTCTTTCGTAAGTGTTTTCTGTTTTAATTTATTTCTTGTAACTTATGTTTGTCTGCATTATAGTTATAATTGCAATAAAAACTATTTTAAGACTTACAATATATTTAGTTTTTACGTTATGCCAGCAATTTAAAATTTATTTAATCGACCGGCGTTCTATTATTCAATTGAGATATAACCTCGCCCGGCTTATAATTTAAGATCTGACCTCAGATACTATTAAAAAAATATGAACTTGTGAGGATGTAGAAAGTATTATTCCTTGTTTTTAATAACTTCCATCTATTATCTAGATATTCTCGGATCAATAAAAATTTAAAACAAGCTAAAAATCGCAATTATCTCGTGTCTTATAATTTTTTTTATAAAAGTTGTATTAGTAATGCTTTTAAGCCAATATAACCTACCCTATATATAAAAGGTGGTAAGTTTCTCGAAATAGTGTAAAGAGGTCCAATCTCTCCAACATTATATGACCAATTACTGACTAGGCTTAATCTCACCATAATTTGTAGTTCAATAGTTTTAAAATCATTTAATTTTGATTCGATTTTTTTACCGGTCAAAATATATGTTTTATTATTAGTTAATGGTTCATTATATGTTACGATCGTATGAATGTGTATTCTCATAGTTTAGATATCTCAAAGATATAGTGTAATTCTCACAGTACGTCGTTGAAATATATATCTTTATAGATAAGAAAGCGATAAACTTAACATTGGGTCTTTTTATTGCTAACTTGGTTTCATTGGAACTTCGTTCGCGTTTCAAAAGCTTTCATTATAATTAGGTAAAATATTAAAAACATTTATTTTACATTATAAATATTAATGTACCCATTCCAATTAGATTTGTGCAAGAATATGGTTCACGTCAATCAAATTGCATTCAAACCCTTGATTTCTATCGGCTGTCTATACTTAACCATAAGGCCAAATGCCTTATCGATGCCAAAATTCAACAGTATCCAGCGACCGTTTTTGACTAATAACTTTTGCTTAGTCATTTTCCTTTTTCTTCTTACTAATATTATAAATGCAAATGTTTAGATGGATGGATCGATCAAGGTATATCCAGAACGGCTCAACTGATCTCGATGTAATTTGACATACATATAGAACATAGTCTAAAAGAAAACATAGGCTATTTATGTTTTGCGAATGGAGTCGCGGGCCACATCTAGTAAATCTATAAGTATAGTTAATCTCCCCATGGCCTACAAGAAAGTTAGTTGAACTAACTAGTGTTATTTGATTTGACTATCATTCAATTTGATAAGATACAGTAAACAATGAATATAGCTTTGTTGACAGACTATACTAAAGATAGGCTAGTACTTTAGATAGTCCTAGATTAAGTATATAAGACAGAGATTTTGAAAAGTAAATAATCTTGTCTCTATTAACTAATGAAATTAATAAATATAAGTTAAATTTGCACCAGCTTCACTATAGTTTACTAGATGTTGCCCCCGACTCCGTCCGCTTAGAATTAAAAACAAACTTAGGAGTAGCTTAGTTCTTCCAGAATATGTTCCACATCTATGCCAAATTTTATCGAGATCTGTTGATCAGATTTGGAGATACCTTCAAACAAACAACCATCCATTTAAACTTTCGTATTTATATTAGTAAGATAGTAATATTTCTTTCACCTACGTAAGCGTCTACTAATTAAACATCGTAATATAATTTTATTCGGCGTTTTTCAAAGTATTTCTTATTAAACAATGAATTTAATGCATAACACGATTAATATTTATTTCCATGTTTATTGCCTGTTTAAAAATGTCAGGCGTTGCTAGCATATATTCTTCGAAAAAAAATATCTTAACAAAATAAAATAAGCTTAAAAAACTGATAAGATTTATTATTGATTAATGATTCTTATTGATTTATACTAGAGATATGTATTAGAATAATAATTATTTTATTTCTAAAACGGTTTAACACTTCATCAGCTCACTATACGTACCCACCGAGGGGCTCGGAGCCTACCCTAAGTTAAAGGTGATTAGGCCATAGCCAACCACGCTGGCCAACTGCGGCTTGGTTGACTTCACACATATATTTGAATTTCTTCTCAGATATGTGCAGGTTGCATCACGATGTTTTCCTTCACCGTAAGAACGTCGGATAAATGTATATATGTAAATCGGAAATCGAAAAACACATTGGTACATAGCGGGATTCGAACCCAGGACCTGCAGATTGCAAGCCAAGTACTTTACCACTGAGCCACCGACGCTCGGTTTAACACGATACAATTAAATTACAACCAAAGCAATCTTTGTTTCTTTAATATGTTTTTTATTACAGAAGATAACTAAAATCGAACAATGCCGAAGGTTACAGTGACCTATTTCAATGTAAAGGGTTTGGGTGAAGGCATACGTATGTTGCTGGCCTATGGCGGACAGGAGTTTGAAGACGTCCGCGTAGAAAAAGAACATTGGCCAGAGTTAAAACCAAGTTTGTAGTTTCCTATATTGAATGACGCTCGATTGTAATTTTACTAGGTATATTGTAAACTAGCTGTACATGACACTGTCTACACGTAATTAACAGTGTGTACGTATTCTTCCAGACTATGTTCTATAGGAGAATTTTATATATAAAATATGATTAATATATCAAAAAAATTTGCTAAAAGTGCATATATTTCTGACCTACGGTATGTTTTTAAATACGCGTTGTTTACCAGAGACACCATTCGGTCAACTACCTATGGTGGAGATAGATGGCAAGCAGTACGCGCAATGTGTTGCAATCTGCCGCTACCTCGGACGCAAGTACGGCCTAGCCGGTGCCGACATCGAGGAGGATCTTATCATCGACCAGAATATGGATTTCTTTAACGATGTACGTTTAAGTAAGTAGACTTCACGAATCATTTACTTTCTAGCAACTACCTTTTGTTACGAAGAAAATTCGAAAATGAGTCAGTGTATTGACTCAACACTAGCCTTACTAAAATATCGACGGTCATGTTCCCCTCACTATCCGTTCAACGAAAGCACGTCATTCGCGCCAAATGTCTAAAACTTTTTATATAAGAATGCAAAAGGGCGGGCTGACTGTACTGACCTATAAATTTGAATTTTTGTATCCAGAGGCGGCGTCAGCACATTACGAACCCGATGAGAAACTGAAAGCAACAAAACTTGAGGACCTCAAGAAGAATCAGTTGCCGTTCTTGTTCGGAAAATTGGATGAAATGATTCAACAGAATAACGGATATTTAGCCGCTGGCAAGGTGCGATAAAAATTACACTATTCTGTTTTATATTAGGGGTAAAACTTGAGTTTTTTTATTTATTTTTTTAGTTGACATGGGCTGATTTTATCTTCGCCGGAATGTACGATGCGCTCAAAATGCTCACTCAAATGCCAGATTTGGATGAAAAGTATCCGAGCTTCAAGAAACTGAGGGATACAGTTTGTGCTTTGCCCAAAGTGAAGGCTTTCATTGACGCAGCTCCCAAAACTGATTATTAATTAACATATACAATGTTTTATTTGTAAAACCTTACTTTTTATTTAATCATTATATTTTAAAGAACACATTTCGGTGTTTTTAATCGAAAAATCGCCGATATTACTAAAATAATAACCAAATTCATATTTGAATCTTCGAGATGAAAAATGTTCATGAAATCTCCTAAATACGTTCGTCAACAGTCAAGCGATAATTGGTTGTTTACAAAGCTTAACCGAGAAATTCCCCTACCGTGACACACTGTCTCTGTTTTTACCACAGAGAATGAAAGGGATGCCAACATTTTAATAAAATATCGTAGTGGAAACTCACCGTAATTATGACTCACAAAGCAATTTGCAGGACGCCTCGTGTCTCAAGGTCACGAGAAACGACATCTGCAGTCCATTGATTCAATCATTATGTTCAATTTATGTGTGGGAAAAATACAGGTGTTACGAATGTGTTCATTATTCAATATCAAATTACAAATAATTATCATAGACATAATATTATTGCAGTTAAGGAAATAACGATATCCCTAAAGTTTGTCCTCCGTCAAATCCATTTCCCCTTCTCATCCTTTCCTTATAAGAATAGGGAGGGGAGGGAAAGAGGACAACAAGGCTTCCAGAACACACATGATGAGTTACAAATAGACAAAACGCGGAATTGCTTTCACTAGACGTTTTCTGTGTGGTGGTATTACACCGGACGAGCCGGCACATTTGCTGGCGCCTATCACTGTGTATTACGTAGTTTAGACGCTAGAACCCTTCAGTTTATTACTTACTATCGACCGCGACTCCATTCGCGCGAATAAAAAAATCTTAATTAGTAACCTATGTATTCTATCATCCACACCTAACTCTATACCAAATTTCAAGAGATCCTTGCAGCTGTTTTAGATAAACATAGTAACAAACATCCAAACGTTTGCTTTATAATATTAGTTAGATATCAAATTTACTGAATTATTTCGAAAAGTCTATAATAGATTTTAATATTACGCGACTTTGAATAGAGGTAAGTTGGGGTGAAGTCATATTGTTAACCAAGTTTGTGGTACTCCACTGTACACGTCGTTCCCGGACATCCTGTATATAAGAGGTATTATCATGCCCATTGTTTTATTTCTCTCAATTTATGAGTCCGATTTTTGTTTTCTTAAATAAAACACCATTTGTAATACAATTGTTTATTATTCGAAAATATAGAAAACACATTTTATATTTTGTGCATTTCTTTAAACTAAAAATATTGAATAAAATCAAATAATAATGCAACATGTAAGGCACTTTGTAATTCAAAGATAAAATTATTAAGACAACGAATAATGGAATTCTTTCTTACGACATATTATATTTATGCACCATTGTTTTCAAAGCATATATGTTACACTAATTGTATTATATAACTTGTGTTCAACATTTGTTTACAGACATGTTACATATTGTACACTGGGTAACATAGTGTACACCGGCTTGCAAATACAGTTAAAGTCATTGTACATTAGTTAACAGACATGTCAGAGATGTTGTACAATTTGTTACAGACATGTTACATGTTGTACACTGGTTAAAATATATATTAGATGTTGTACAATGGTTTAAGGACATATCAGTTATTGTACAACAGTTTAAAGTCATGCGAGATATTGTACAATGGTTTATAAACATGTTACATATTGTACAATGATTTAAGGTCAAATTTGATATTGTACAATGGTTAATATACATGTTAGATGATGTACAATCGTTAAAAGACATGTTGGAAATTGTACAATGGTTTATAGATATGTCTGATGTTGTACAATGTTTTATAGACCTATCAGATATTGTAGAATGATTAATAGAAATTTTAGATGAATCTTTTACGCACATCATGTTGTATGTTGTAATGTTTTAGGTGCGTTAAAAGTTGTACACTGGCGTTGGCAATTTGGACACGTAGTCCTGGATCTTGGGGAATGAGAAGATGGTGTCGTAGAGCTTTTTAAAGCTGGGATATTTCTCTTCCAAGTCGGGCATCTGCAGCATAGTCTTCAGGTACAAGAAGATGCCAGCGAACACGAAGTCACCCCAAGTGAGCTGTTAGAAATAAACATAAAACCTTTAATATACTTAAGACTGATGTGACAAAATAAGAACTATGTTACACTCTGTACAAAAAGTAAATAAAAGCAAAAACTAAACATGTATGGTTACTTTGAAAAGCAACAACAACGGCTTAAATCATCTTAAGAAATTTACACAGATAATAATAATCGTAAAATTAATCGGAAATAAAAAAAATATTATGCAATACGATGGAAACTTTCAAATTTTCTAGGTTTGATAATTTTCTTACTTTGCCAAGTGCGAGATGTCCGTTATTCTGCTTGATAATTTCATCAAGCTTGCTGAGCATTGCGGGGTAGACGTTCTTGGAAAAGTCCTCGTGTTTCTTGGCTTTGACCGCCTCGTCGTTCTCGTAATGGACTGCGGCCGCCTCTGTAACAAAGCTTCGTTAGTATTTTTACAAACTAGCTTTTGTCCGCGACTTTCCCCGCCGTATGCAAAACAACTTCTATAAAAACCTTTTAAATAACAACAAAAAGATATAATAATCCTTCACTTCACTATAAATATACAAAAATTATATGACTCGTTTGCCAATACAAATATCATCATATAGTTAACACAGTAAAAACACAGATTACCGGTTAACCAGATCTACTCATAGCAACAACTATTTAAACAGATCTTCATACTTGTAATATGTTAAAACACTGGGCATTATAACACAATGATTTCGCGACCTTGAGACTCATCGTATTGCTACAGAATTTCGATAAAAAGCCACTTATTGATATCATATACCGTAATTACGTAGATAAATTTCAAGTATGACACTTTAATATTACCATCTATGTGTACACATTAATATAATTAACAATAATAATGAAAAGCGCAAAATTACGCACATTATAAATAAACACTGCTTGTTGTAAACATGCACTTACTGCGTTCAAAACTGCACTAAGTCATATGCCGCCATTTTGTTTAACAATCGCCAGGATAAATTTACTTATACAGTATAAACATCTTTTTGGTGACTCAAGGTCAAGTGCGCGCGACGCAGTGCCCCCCCCCCGCGCTACACCTCGTGTACTACACAACAATACGTAAGAAAGTTCAAGCTGTAAACATGATTAATCTTTATTCAGTTGCAGTGTTAGAACGAAATAGGGCGATCGCCCAGGGCGCCAAGCACAAAGCCGCCCTTTAAGATACCTCTAAATCAAAAAAAGGGTCCGCAAAAATCTCGCCCAGGGCGCGGGAAACGCTAAAATGCCTCTATTCTACTCACTGGTTCTAATATCATTGAGGAAATCGACGTTCTGGTCAATGATGAGGTCTTCCTCAAGAGTGGCACCGGCGAGACCGTGCTTACGGCCGAGGTAGCGGCAAATCGCGTTGCTTTGCGCGTACTGCTTACCATCCACCTCCAGGATCGGTAGCTGGCCGAACACCGTTTCTGATAACAAGGGAATTAAAAACAATAATAAATGAACAGACTGTAATAAGTTAAAAAGTACAACAGACTATAAAAAAAATCGAATACCTAATTCGTAAAAATCGATTCATCTGTTTTTACACATATCTTGTTATCAAAATACTATTCACTATCATATTAATTATATCAATAAAATGTAATTTTATAAATAAATAATAATCAAAATAAGATAAACAATCAACATCGTCAATAACATCTGTTCAACTGTTGCCTATCAACAAATTTAAAAAAAAACTTATATAGAAAGGTACAATACATTACACAAGTATAATACAGCCATATGAAAAAAAAAACTCATTTAGTAAACAATGGTACAGTCACAAACATGTACATCCGGTGATAGTTGATTGTACCACTATTGTACCGTTGTGCGCGATTGTACAGGTCTGTCTGTAATATAGTAACAAACATGGTTGTTATTCAAACGGAGTCAAGGAGACGGAAATTGATGAATGAATAATAAAACTCTTTTTATATATCTTTAAGTTACTTATTGTTTACTGTTTAGTTTACAACTATAGATAAGAGATACTTTGCCTTATGGATTTTACTAATATTTTAGTCGACTTTACTAAATTATATACTCTGTCCGCCAGGAAGTAAAACAAATTTAATAAGTAGCCTGTGTTGTCCCAGATTGTATATCTATGCTAAATTTAAGTGAGATCCGTGTAGCTACTTGTGATAAATCCATCCATCCATACATCTAAACATTAGCATTTATATTCAGTATATATTTTGATTTCTAAAGCGGTTCAGGTGATCCCCTAGAGTCTGGGATCCATCATGATGGTTTACTCTGAAGGGCATTAAAGTTGAGTTTTGGGAATATGAAGATGTAGCAACAGAGATGCACCGCCAAAAGGGTGAAACTTTACTAAACTAAAAATAATAAATTATGTAAATTTATATGCAATAATTTTTCATCTTACTAATTTATTTTTACCAGGTAAATTACAACAGCCTTCTATAGATCTAGGATCTTTAGCCTACACTTTTAATATAGATAATATATATCCTTTTTGATAGAATAATATCTTTTTTTGCATATTCTCTGCTCTAACACCAAATGACTCTTTAATCATTTGCCACTTTTCCACCATTACAGATTTACATTAATGAATGGATCTCAGAGTTTCATACTGATGTCATATATTTATACTAACTTGGTTTCATTTCTTGCCACTCCTCCATGGCAACACGGTTGTCTTCAAACTCCTCGCCGGTGTAGGTCAGCAGGAGGCGACATGACTCACCCAGAGCACGCAGGTTGAAGTAGTAGAATTTTGTCTTAGTCATTTTCCTATAAAAAAAATTTGTAAAGTATTATAGCATACTAGTTTAATTTTACATCTTTAGTTTGCACTTGACTCTTTGTTGTTTTAATTTACTTATAATACTACTCTTTGTAATAAACAGAAATTAATATCCCTAAATATGTATTTATATTTATAAACATTTAGACGTACGAAGCCGGGGCGTCCACCGATCTTGACATAAACTCACAAGTAAAGCGAGATAATTAGATAGCTAGCAGATAAATCTTCCCAGATCTAGGCTAGAAGAGGGTTTGTAGATAGCGGCAAAAATATAATTTATTACGAAACGTCGAAAACCATTACGAACACCATCAGACAACAATTGCAGTAATTTATAGATAGGTACCTAAGTACCCTGCTTCTAATATTACGTTTTAAACGTAAATTGCTGGATCAAAACACCAAATAACAAATATTTCACAGTCGTGATTCAAAAAAAAGTGTACTTACCCAATTGAAAAGCACTTAGTAACAACGAAAATAGATAACCAACCGGCTTATATTACCACCTACGAACACAACTCGCTCGTTTATCACAGAAAAGCAAACGCAAATGCCCACAGTTGCCAATCAAGTTTTCATTATATACCAAGACTAGGTTAGGTAGGTTTTTAATTCGCGGTATCAGCACGATGACGTTTCATGTTAAAGTTACGTATACACTGTCCATTGGATGGATAAATCTAAACTTTAAATCTAAAGACGATATTGGACTATTTCGAACTTCGTGCTTCAAAAACGAGTTTAATTTAATAAATATATACAATTATAAATGCAACGAAAACGCCACAAGTTCACTAACTGTACATATTTACATTTTACCATAAATTAATCAATCACAATGGAACACACAAAAACCAACACACATGCTTATACTAATGTACTTGCAAACAACAGAATACTTTAGTTCGTCAAGCAATAAAAACATTTATCAATTTCAATAAATCCATACAAATCATTTGAAGGTGCTAGTGTATACGGAGCTTAATCGTTGTCACATTCATGACAGTGTTGCCAACGCTACCACAATTGCCGTTTTTTACGGTTTTCAAGCCAACATACTAAAAAGAATTACGGTCTACGGCCACAGCTAATTTTAGGGCGTTTCGAATATTTACAATAATTAGTTGAATTTTTTCAATTCACTTTTAAAGTTTTAGGACTGTGAATACGATTCCAAAAATAGGATTTTAATGAATAATAACTAAAAATAGTCAATGCTACCAATTATTCTGTTTTATTACCTTTCTCTTTTTACTGGGTCTGCTTTAGTATCTGCTCAATTGTTTAAAAAACATCTTAAAGAGAAGTTATTGCTTAGGCAATCGAACTTATAACCTGTTTAATATATAGCTAATGTGTTCTTGTCTTTTTTAAAATTAACTATGTTTTCTTTTTATTTCTCCATTATCTTTAGTTAGTTGCTACGAGTTGTAATTACTTTTATTTTTGTTTGTTTAGTTGTCTGCTTTTGTTTTATTTCTTTTACTTAATTTCTAGTGGTTGTAAACGGGCTGATGGGCACCTCTGAACGATCATAACGTGGCCTACCGGGACAGGCTGAAAACCAGCTCCGCATGGCCATGCCATGCGGTACACGCTGAGCCTGCAGCCCATTGTCGTCATACATATAAATATATATTTGTAATTACTGTGTGATTTGATGTATTTGTGTGATGGCAATAAAGAAGTTTTATTTATTTTATTTATTTATTTAGTGATGTAAATTAGATGAACTTTAGGAGTGGATTAAGCCAAACGACGATACTTCTTTCTCTCTAGCCAAAGTTTTTAACCAAAGTTAAAACAACTCTATGTTGTTGCTAAAAAGTTGTACTGTCTAGTACTTGGAACAAATCACCGTCATTTGTGTGTACTAAACGTGAACACAGTGGATTATAATAACAACATATTTGTGTATGATTTATTTTTATTAATAAATATATATAAAAATATGTAAATCTAAACTTAAGTCCCTTCAGTAGCTTCTTTATATTGTTCATACCAGTGATCTGGTGTTTTGCCTAAGGCCTGTAAAATACAAAAAAATATTTTAACTGTGTTACCCTCTGGTAATCTGAGAGAATCAAAAGATAGCAGCTAATTCCTTAAACTCTAGCTAATTTAAATTCTTACTAATATTATAAATGCGAATGTTTAGATGTATGAATGGATGGATGGATGGATATTTGTTTGAAAGTATCTTTACTGAAATCTGGCGTAGATGTAGAATGTAATTTCGCGCAGTCGGAGTCGCGGGCATCTTGTTAAGTAATAAAAGCAATTATGCACAAACCTCAGCCATTTTGTTAAGTAAAAAATTTTTTGGCACTTCCTCGGTGGCTCTTTTGCCCCATTCAAATATATTTCTTGCTAACTCACCATCGCCAACCTAAAGAAAAAAAAACACCAAATTATAATACAACATAGTCTTAACATATTAAAGCTATTATATCTTAATCTCTATAAAATAATTCATTGAAATAATAGATTAAACTCCACAAAAAGTTAAGAGAATATCTTACTAATATTATAAATGAAAAACTTTACATGGACGGATGGATATTTGATTAATATCTTCAGAACGGCTAAACTAATTTCTATAAAATTTAGCAAACACAGAACAAACAACAAGAACAAGAATATGTGGCCGTCCTAAACAAACCTGGCTGTCAGTAGCAATTGTGCTGACATGGCCCGAGACCAAACGCAGAGCCCAAGATAGATCAAACTGGCGGCGCACTGTGGACGCCCTCTGCCCTACTACGGGAACATAGGACTTTAAGTCAAGTAAGTTATGTATTATATCTTATTACAATAAAAATATACCTTGGTATAAAGTAAATACATCTGTTTGGTTGCAGTGCTGATAAATGATTTCCTGCCAGAGTAATCATTTTCTTCCAACAGACCAGATTCCGAGAGGAATTTCCACATGTCATCTGTTAAAAAAAATAACTTTTAGGTTCAAGGACATTTATTCCTTACTCCTGCTATTGAGGTGAAACATTTTCATAGAAAATTCGAAACATACCACGGTATGTGTGAGCTAACTAATTTGCTGTAAAAAAATATCTAAGCTTACCAACTATTATAATTCATAGCATCGTTCAAAATCTCTGGACAAACCAGCAATGGGTTCATAGACACATTTATTGTAATTATATACATTGTACCTTGCTTTCATCTTACTAATATTATAAATGTGAATTTTTAGATGGATGGAAGCTTGTTTGAAGGTATCTCCAGAATGGCTTAAAGAATTTTGATGAAATATGGCACACATGTAGAACATAGTCTGGAAGAACACATATGCCACTTATTAAGTTTTTTTTAAAATTCCAAACGGCCCGAGTCGCGACAGCTAAATAAAGAAAATAAGCCTAACTTTAGCTTATAGTGGCAGTTTCCTATATATTTGATCTTCCATATGCAAAATAAAAAGAGGCTAGTTATGTAAAACCTTACCATAGCTAAAAGCTAGTTTCAATGTAATGACAACAAACCTTCTTTAACAGGACATCCAGACATAAATATATGAATTAAGCATGCTATCAATATTCTTCGTTGTTGTGGATCTATGACACTTGATGACAATGATTGACACTCCTCATCAAGTACTACAATGTATTGTACACCAGTCTTTGCCTCAACCTGCACCAATTTATATCCATATACCTGAAACAGGTAAATGTCGACAGGATATTATTATATTACGCTTATAACATTAAAAAAAAATTGACTGTAAATAAAATGTATACAGTCATATAATTATAATTAAGGGGGTTCCAGAGTATGAATTTATCAAAATAAATCTACACTAAGGTTGCTCTTAAAAAACTATTAAACAATAAGTAAGTGTGGCAGTATTTAATGCTAGCTGTTGCCCTAAATTTCGTCAGCGTGGAATAAAAAAAAGACTATAGTATTGGCGGAAAATGATGTTTAAGTAGTGGGCCTGACAAAATTGGTATACAGGTTTCGGGGATTACCCGGAATAATCGCGAACTTGAGCGCATCATGTTTGTTGAAATAAGTTTTTTTATTATATGCAAACACTTAAATTTCATTACTGCAAAAGGTCTATACCTAAGATATTATGAAACAAACCGTTTTTAAAACTTTGTTCGCTTCAACCATTATACTACTAATTTGATTGGTAGAAGTCTCGCAGGTACTTTGTAAATATTTTAAAATTTCTGCCCTTTTAATTGGAATTTTGCTTCCTTCACGAGAAAAAATATATCGAACGCATTCTATCACGGCACGGTCCGACGTAGTAATCTCTTCTACGGCACTTGTTCTAATTTGTCGTCTTTGCGACATTTTATATATAACTTATATTAAACGTAAAATCAAAATTTAATTTTTCAAGCGATTTTAATAATAACAACAACAAACTTTGGTTATCAGTTTTGACAAGTTTGTATTTTGTATTGTCAATGTCAAATGTTTTTTTTTAATTTTATGACCTGGTAACATAGACCTTTAGAATGTCAAATGAAAAAGGATAAAAGCAAAGATAACATAATTTAGATAGTAAAAAAAAAAAGAATTCACACCGAAAACGTTTTCTAATTCAGTGGGGAAATGATGCATAGGTCTTATTTTATACAACACACATGCTTTCAAGTAAGTTATTCGAAACTACTTAGACTGTTGTTGTATCGCAAGTGATTTTTCAAAATTACAGAAAATTTCCGGATTTTAATGATTCTTTGATAAGATCATTGGATTTTGATATATTCATTCGAAATGAATATATTCGCCGAGAAGAATAATACGGTTACTTACGCACTATAAGATTTTGATTTCACAAATGCAATTATTTTAAAAGGCTTCGATATTATTGACACGAGGCAAACATTTTATTACCTATGTGTGACAGTTTTTATCTGTTGCCAAATTTATTTATGTCCAGCTGTCAATTTTTGAACTTGGGTCAAAATCTGACAGTAATTTTTTTATCAGTCAATCAAGACAAGACGATCGCCTTATTCTAGCAAATGTTACAATAGTCAAAAAGCATATTACATTTAATTTCGTAAATAGTTTGTGTGCTCAAAATGTCTGGACCTCCCAAAGAACGCTATATACCGAATGCCCTGAAATTTGCATTTGGTGGCCTTGCCGGGTAAGTTTATTTTTATATTTATTTATCCCGTAACGTCCTTATGGGATCAAAGTCGTTTCAGCATATTTTTTAATAATGATAACAAATGTTTGTACTTATTTTATGACTTGATTTTTTAAATGCACAGTGAAAATAATTATAAAAAAATCCCTGAAGTTTATACATTTGTCAAAAAGTAATGTTTTAATTAGCGGCATAATGTTAACGTAAAAAATTGTTATCTCTATACGTGACCTCCAATTAATGTTAACATTTATTCAGCCGCGGTAGTTATGTAATGGACACTATGTTTTGTGTAATTTAAGTTCAAGTAATATATTTTTTGTATCATATATTGCTTTGATTCTGCTAGAAAAGTTCCGTAAAGCTTATTAAAAATATATAGAGTATAAATTAAAAGAAAGCAATATAAAATCAATAAAATAACCCTGGTAGAAGGTAGGAAGATGGCAGTATTATAATATTACCATCTTCCTCTCTTATACACACAGGTTGGCCGTTTCCCTTTGGACCGATCAATCGGTAGGCTAATTAACACAATAGGAAACATGCAACAGGTTTAAAAAATTATTGGTAAATGGTAAAGTATATAAAAGTGTAGGTGAAAAAAGATTATTACAAAATAATATAAGAAAAGATGACATTGAAATTAAGAATGACATACAAAAAAGTGTTTATGCTTTTTCATCATGATAAAGCTTAATATAGTTCATACAATAGTTGGTTTCCATTGTAAAAACTAAAATATAACATTATATATATTACAGTAATCCCAAACTTATTAAAAACACATAATATAAGAAGCAAAATCTTTGTACCTCTTTTTTAAATAGCACAAACAAAAGTATATGTAATTAAAAGTGTGCATTAAACATTTTAATCGAAAATACAAAAAAAAAACTTTTATTATGATTTATGGTAGAATTTCTAACAATATACAACCACTAGACCATTGAAATATAGAAAGTTATGTTACATAACTTATTTTCAATCTAGATTGGCTTTAGTCCAGGTTTTTTTAGTTTGCAATTTTTGTGTAAAAATAGCAATGCAACAAGCTGTTTGCATATTATTCTAATTTTATTTATTTGATGAAATTTCATAATCCAAAATTATATAAACTTTCTAATCATTAATAATCATATAAAATCATTGAAATATAATTATTATTATATTGCCATAAATGTAGAGTATAAATATATAATTAAAAATATAATTTATAAGAAGTATTGACAATATAGTAAAAGTCATGAATTAATAAGAGTGGAATATTTTTGCACATACAGTATGTTCCAAAATTCAAGGAATATTTTTACACATTTAAGTATCCAAAAATTCAAGAATAAACCTGTACTGGAATATACACCTATATGGCTATAGCCAGGTTGATAACTAGTTGGTAACATTTATTTATTTATTTAAAAACTACATAGCGTCCTTACAGTATACAACCAATTTGACACTATACACACTTTACATTAACAGTGCAAGAATATATCAACGGGTAACTAAACATCAATATTCAAACGTCTTCCACATATCTGTACGCAGCCTCTGTGAATTTCGACTCGCTGCAACTAAATAAATCTATATCTTTAGATCTGATATTGAGAACCAGTATAGCCCGCACTACCGAAGCATTTAGCTAGAACATGTAGTTATCAACCTGGTTATACACCATAACTGGTTTAGCATTGAATTTTGGGGCACTCTATATAAAAGTTTGTTTTTATGTATGTGGGTTTGTGTTTATTTTTGACGGTAAAGCAATTGCTTGTTACAGCATGGCGGCCACATGTGTGGTCCAACCGTTGGATTTGATCAAGACAAGGATGCAACTGGGTGGCGGGAATGCATCCAGTTTCTCGGTGGCCAGTGAAATCATAGCTAAAGAAGGTTTCTTTGCATTGTACACCGGTCTATCAGCTGGTCTGCTGAGACAGGCCACTTACACAACAAGTCGTCTTGGCGTCTACAATTGGCTGTTTGATTCTTACAAGCAGTGAGTTTTTTGTGTATATTTTTTATTGTGAATGTTTAATGCTGGTAACTCTAGACCTTTTTACTTGCTTTATTGCAGTGCAGTGTACTTTATCTGTCTTGTAACTTATTTATATAAAGGGCAACATTGGGTCACTTATTATCTTGTGTGTAACTATAGAAATATATGTAAATAAATATATTTAAAGTAAATTATAATGAAATCAATGGGTTAGTAATTACCTATGATATGTATATAAAAATTAATCGCAAAATGTGTTGGTCAGCGCATAACTCAACAAAGCCTGGACCAATTTGGCCAATTCTTTTTTTTAAATGTTTGTTGAAGTTCAAAGATGGTTTTTACGGCGAGAAAAATTCGAATAATTGTCGGGAACTAATTATTTTTATCTTTTCACGTGGACGGAGTCGGAGTTGGAGACGGAGAAAATTCTTGTGTTGTAATTTTTTGTTACCATACTCCATCGAAACTGCTTGACCGATTTATATGAAATTTTATATGTATATTCAATAATTATGAGATTCGGCTACTATGTATTTTTTAATCTTCTCGGACGGAGTTGCGGGCGACAGCTAGTTAATATATAACAGCAGAGGAACTATAGATATCCTAAGTGATAAAGTTACACTTAGGTCTTGAAATACCTTTGTAATTTGGAAATTAAACAAATAGGAAATGATGTAGGTGATTTTCCTTTTATCATGTCTATAGCATGTGTTTATAGATATTAAATTTATCTTCTATTTATCTATTTATTACTATGTGTATCTTTAGTTGATAATCTGGTCAATATAGATTGCAATGATTAATCAATTATAATCAAAGCTCACTATTAACAGTAAGTGTTGCTTGTTTTTGTAGATTCAATCAACCTTTGACCATAGACAAATTGTACTTTACACAATGACTCAGAATTGATGAAACACTTTTTTCATATAATGATATTATTTATCTTACTATTATAAAAGCGAATGTTTAGATGGATGTTTGTTTAAACATATCTCCAGAACGGTTCAATGAATCTCGAATTAATTTGGCATACATATAGAACATTGTCTGGAAGAACACAAATGCATTGGCACATAATTACGTTTTTTTTCTAAATCCTGCGTAGAACGAAGTCGCGGACGACACCTTGTTTCTTTATATATTATAATATAACTAGCTGTCGCCCGCGACTCCGTCCGCGCGAGATTAAAAATAGACGTTGGCCGATTCTCAGACCTACTCAATGTGCTCACAAAATTTCATGAGAATCGGTCAAGCCGTTTCGGAGGAGTATGGGAACGAAAATTGTGACACGAGAAGTTTATATATAAGATATAAATTTAAAACACGTTAGCTACCACTTTATCATAATTTTGAAATTAAGAAAAAAGTGAAATATCATAATGGCCGCCATGTGATTTGACGTTCCTCTGTTTGCTTAATTTTGGCTTTGGATCGCAATGGATAGTTTTAGCGTGACTTTGCCATAGAGAATGTAGGGCAGCCTTGATCACACGCTTGGTCAATAATTACTTGTAACGACACTGTATCTTGTTGTCACGCGCTGTTCGCACTCGGTGTCAAGGTCATATCTAAGTTAAAGCATAGAAACATGTATAGTCGGCACCGTTCGCGGTGGTGATACATTGCCTTGCACTTCGCAACTACCTTAAAGGTAACTTCCTGCAAAAAACAAGTTGCTGTCGATGTTTTCATTAAATTATAAGCAAGTAGCTATCGCCCTCACCTCTGTCTGCGTACTGTTAAAAAAGATTATACTAAAATATTAATAAGTGTAACATCTGTACTGCACCCCAAATATATGTCATAAATACGCTATTACGCTTCGTATAATAAAGGGATAAACGTTTTAAACGAACATCGCAAACGTCGACGACTGTACCTTATTACACTTATACATTGTAATGTAACTAAAAATTCTATGTCAATATTCATATTTGTTTCAACAGATTATATAATGCTAGTAAGTATATAGGATCAGATATCCGAGTATCGAGTCACGAAGACATAATTTATAGTACAATCAACTTGTAAATTAAAACCCCTTTTGTCCTGCCACTATATAACACCTATTGTGTGGTAAACATTATGTATTATATAAACATTTTAATGTCTATAAAGTCTTCGTTTAACAAATACATATCGGCGATAAATATATTGTCACAAGCTGACTCCTCTTTTATCTTTATATAACTCCATTGATTTGTAGCAGTCTACCTTCTACTACTATTTTATTAATTCTACCATAATTTCCCCTTCACATTCTTTCCTTGTAAGAAAAGTGTAAGGGACGTCCACTAGAATTAGGTCACTAGCAGGTAAACTCATTAGACTGTACGTGGTACGACTACTAGTAAAGTTTGTATGGCATGATATATTTATGCGCTAGGACGTATGGCGATAACCCCGGCTTCGGTACGAAGGCGGCGTTGGGTGTGGCCGCGGGCTCGGTGGGCGCGTTCGTTGGCACCCCCGCTGAGGTCGCGCTCATCCGGATGACCGCCGATGGCCGTCTGCCCAAAGAGCAGCGCAGGAACTACAAGAACGTCGTTGATGCCATCCTCAGGTAACAACTAACGACTAGGAACTCGTAAAATCAATTGTTACGGAGTTCTACATCCTTGTATCCTGGACAGGATCATCAAGGAGGAGGGTGTGTTGAAACTGTGGCGCGGTGCTACGCCCACCGTCGCACGCGCAATGGTAGTCAACGCGGCGCAGCTCGGTACATACTCACAGGTAATGTATCGCAACAAAGACCCCTCATATAAGTTAGCTTAGCTTTGAGACTAGCAGACCCTGTCGCTCAATTTGTATAACGACACTAGGTTGTTACGTATAAATTCTTCCGCTGAGACACTCCGGGGAAGAATATGATTTGAATGACACCATATTCGTCTAAATCGAATCAACTATTTAAGCTGTAGACGGTCACAATGGGATACACACAAACTAGCATACATAAAAACCTTGTATACAAAATCTTCTCTCAACACTGAGTTTGGTTTCATGGAGTCACAAGATGTCGATGTGTCGTAGGCCCGCGAGTGGTTCCTGGGTATAGTGCCCGACGGCATCCAGCTACACTTCTGCGCTTCCATGGTGTCAGGTCTCGTCACCACCATCGCCTCTATGCCCGTAGACATCATAAAGACCAGGTAAGTGCTCGGAGTAGACAGACATATCATTCTACACATCGACGTATAGCCAAATTACATTTCATTCTATTTCTTCACATTGCTTTATTTTCACATGGTCGTTGCTTCATTGCCATGTCACAATCCTGTCCCAGATAAAATATTTGTCAATCACAATAAAACCCCCAATAATAAGACCCCCAAATAAATAAACAATTGATTTGGGGGTCCATCAGTGTAGTGAAAAATAAAAAAAGCCTTCTACAAATAGTTAGAAATCGTTTGTCTGTAGTTGTATCTTTCATGTAATCTGTATTTCGATAGAATATTACAAAGTTTGACAATTGCAGGATACAAAATGCTGCAAAAGGTGAAAGTCAAATGGCAGTTATCACGAATTTGTTGGCCAAAGAAGGCGTGTTGTCTTTGTGGAAGGGCTTCCTACCATACTACACCCGACTGGGACCTCACACCGTCCTTACATTCATATTCCTTGAACAATTAAATTCTGCCTACCTCAAATATGCGTAGCCATTTCGCTTACACAAATTAATATAGTGTTTTAAAAATATTTATTCCTAAAGAAACGTTTCTCGTTTATAATTATTTATTTAACTTAATAAATCCCATATTAGTGGTTATAACATTAACACCGACCCCTCAAGGGGTCCTATTAACACCTTCACTGCTACTCCTACGAGTAAACTTTAAGGCAACAAAATTTGAGTGGCATTGAACGTGTTAAATTTTTTTTTAAATCTCGGATCTAATTTTATACATTTTGAACTAGTGTCAAGGTTCCATTCCTAATTCTATAAAGGTCTAAAATAGGGGGTGTAAGTTTGTCTACAGGGGGTGTTATTGTTTCAGCAAAATTATTTCAAATTTGATATACAATTTTAAGAGTAAAATTAACTAGGTGTTTCAGAGTTTATCATGTAAAGGTTTAAATTGGGGGGGTGAAAGTTTGCATATAAAGATTTCTTACATATATACAACTCACACATACTTGAACTACGTAGATTAGCTTAAATAGCTTTTAACGAAATTTATTTCTTGAAAATTTAAAGGGGTGAAAGTTAAAGTTACCTAAAAAGTTCCTTTATTTATACTTGATATAACGTACGTATTTCGGCCTTTTTAAAATTTATGCTGTAAATTCATAACTAGGTGGATGAAAATTTGTACCTAGAAATATACATACAGCATAGATAAAAAAAATGATGTTTCAGTTAATACGTACATGAGAATTATAAAACATTTTTACAAAATACATCTAAAAATCATAGGTGAAGTGAAGGGTTTTTTTTAGATTTAATTCAAAAAGGTTAAAAGGCACAAATTTTTTTTTGTATATTTTTAGAACTATAATAAAGTACAAATACATTTAGTATTATTTCAATTAATTTCTTATTTTTCTTTATTTATTGTCGTTCTTTATTCTTGGAAAAAAACAACACCCCGTAGTAACTTTAAAAATATACTTGAAGTAACAAAATCTATAATTACGTCTAGATCTTTATTATTAGCCTCTAATTTCTCAGTTTTGTATCTGTGATAATTAATTTATTGTTTTTACTATTATTAAATTCTAATTTTATTTTTAATTAATATCGGTTTATTAGTTTTAATTTTTTTATCTGTGATTACATTGCCAGTATTCAATGAATCTGTGATGTTTAATAAATAATTATGAAAAAAATATGTTAATTTAATTTATTTAAAAAGGGCGCCAAAATGACTGATTTTATTTTGGTATATTTCGAATTTGGAACACAATTAATTTATTATGAAAGTATATAATAATTATACGTATTTTATATAAAAGAAGACATTTCTCTACTACATTGTGAAATAACTAATGACATTCCAAACATCATTGTCTATTCTAATGCCATAGACAATGATGTACGGATAGCAAATTTTTTTTATGTTTTGTAATATAGCAAGATGGCGTTGATAATAAAAATCGTTAAACCCGTAATAATGTTTTAATTGATAATTTAGTTAGTAGTAGCAAAATAAATTTTAGTAAATACAATTTATGGTTTTACCAAAAAAAAACGAAACGCATCTACGGTTCCTCTGGTATAGCTGATGTCCATGGGCGTCGTTGAACACCTCGGTGTTCCCGCTGCTCGTTTGCCCCCTTATGTTATAAAAAAAAAATCATGGGTTTTTGAGACCAAAATGTCCATGTCCGTCTCATGTCTCATTGTTACCTCTGTTTTCTCAAAGATAGTACAGATTATGGTCGTAAGAAACCAACGGTAAATTAAGCAATCATACAATAAACCTAATGAATTTATTCATAACTAACAAAAATTAAATATGGCATAATTAAATATCAATATTATTTATATTAAACTAGCTGTCGCCCGCGACTCCGTCCGCGTGGATATATAAATAAACTTAATTAGTGTAACCAATGTGTTCTTTCAGATTATGTTCTATACGTATGCCAAATTTAATCGAGATCTGTTCAGCCGTTCTAGAGATATCTTCATACACCCATCCATCCATCCACATCACATCCATCTAAACATTCGCATTTATAATATTAGTAAGTTAAATAAAAAGCAGTTCTTCAAGGCATGAATTCGAAATAAAAAAAAGAATAAATGTCCGTCTCCTGGCTCTAAGCTACCTCCTCACCAATTTTCAGGCATATCGGTAAAGCCGTTCTTGAGTCATAAATAGTGTAACTAACACGACTTTTATTTATATATATATATATGATATAAGATATGTTTGGAACTGCAGTGACACAAATATTCATGTAATACAAATGTCAGTTTCCTCGTAATTCAAAATTACCATAACCTTATTTATTACTGTTCGGAAGAAAACCCGACAATGTGTCGGTGTACTGACGCAACACTAGTCTTACTAAAGTGTCGACATTTGTGTCCCCTCACTATTCATTGTGACACTTGACTTTGCAACGAAAGCGCGCCATTCGCGACAAGTGATTCTAACTAAAACTGTCTAATTACGTATTATTTTATTCCAGAATTCAAAATGCTGCCAAAGGTCAAAGTCAATTATCGGTTGTAAGTTCGCTCTTGCGCAATGAGGGCGTGTTCTCTCTCTGGAAGGGCTTCCTGCCATACTACACGCGCCTGGGACCTCACACTGTCCTAACTTTCATATTCCTTGAACAGCTCAATACTCTATACTTCAAATTAACTTAAATTTACCAAAAAGTATAGTAACACAACGATTTTATGGCAGTTTTTTGACATTGACAGATGCGCCTACAAGATTTAAGGGTTACCATTGTGCAAAAATTTCCTCACTTCTTTCCAAATTCGTCTGTTACAATTCTAAGCAATTGATGACCTGTGCCTTCGTAGTAATTTCTAAATGTTTAAATTGATATATCCAAACACATTAGCAAATCTAAGTACTATGTCATGACATCAGGCGTGATATTTTTATGGAATTTCGAAATTATGAATATGGCAACATTGAAACGTGCTGCTGCCCCCTCATTGGTCAAAATATGTTGTTAAGATGACTGATAATTCACATGTTTTCCGACTGCCATAAGATCGTTGTGGAACTATAGGCTGAATGTCGCAAGAACTAACACATTACAACATTTTTGTAATAAAAAGAAAAAATGTCAGGTAAAAAAGTAAAGTTGAGCTAATCTATGACCTGGTCATAGATGAACATGTACAATAACTACTCTTTGTTATTTATCAAAGATTAAATATCGCAAATGGAATAAACGTGCGTTCAAAAATAATATTCCAAGCGACATTCAGCCTTAATATACTTAAAGTATATTTTTGTACGACAAAGCAGATACTGATAGTTTTAAAAAGATTTTATATCGAACTTTTACAATACGGTATCGAATACCTATACTCCATCTTAAGTATAGTTTACTTTAAGTGTTAACGATAAAGTAAGTATGAAGTAAACATTTGCAAAACATACCTTTGCGTGTGTTATACCAAATTAAGATTCAGTATTCTCTATTTTCCGCTTTTACGTAGACGCTTTTATTTAGAAAAGTGTTTCTGCTGTAGAAAACAACAACAAACAAACATACATACATAGAGGTCGATATTATAAAAATTAGCATTTCCCTCCTTTTTTATTGCTATTTTGCTTTTAAGCACAATTGCTATTGCCTTTTGTGCAAGTTTTTTTTTTAATTTTTAGTATTGTATAGGAAGAAATATGCATTGGCATTTTTTTTGCAAAGAATATCAAATATTCTATGTATGTATGGAAGGTTTCAAATTAGTTGCTTTGAAATGCACAATAGTTTTTAGTTCCTATATGTTGCCATAAAATGATTTAACATCATAAAATACGCTCAAAAACTTAAAATTGCTATAAATATTGAAACAGACAAAATATAACATAAAAATTAATTAATTTCACAAACATTTCTCAAATGATTTGTATGTTTTTTGTTCTTCGATATTTAAGATTATGTTTTTGTAGGCACAATAAAGAAATATTGATTATGAAATCATTCAACGTTAAACGTATAGTTTATTTTTTTATTTATAACAAAAAAGGTCTCATTAGTTTGCATTTTATCAACTATTGCTTGATCTGTGGTCGATTCGGTTTTGGCGCGCTGTCACATGACAATATAAGCCCAATGACCTCTATATATATGGACAGATCGGAGCATGGAAATGACAGATTTTCGTTCCCATTTCAAAATCTGATGATGTTACTGACACTTCTGTCTCTATTAGTTCTTGTTTCCACCACCGCTGCAGTGCACGACCGTCAGCGCCAAAATGGATAATCAAATAGGCACAAAATTCACAGTTTATATCCTTTCCAGCGTAATATAGAGGTTTGTGTATGTATTTGTTGTTTGTCTACTTTCAATACTTATAAAATTCCATCAATTTGATTGCAACATGTGATATAATAATAGTTATGAATTTGATAAAAAGCTATATTTTTATAGAGGCAGTTTTATTTTTATTTGTGACTAATTTTAGCGAGAAAATATTGTTAATAAAATGTCTTTGTTAATGTTTGTTTTTTATTTAACACCCCATTTTACATTAGTTTTAAAGTCAAATAAAATCTATATGTTCTATCTTTCATAGAAACCATATTTTGGAAACTTAAAATTACCGTTGTTTTCATAATAGCTAAGAATTGAAACCAATTTAAAGTTAAATATTTATGATTTTGCTTTATTTAAAACACAACACTTGAAACATGTGATGAAAAATGACAGATCAAAAGAAAAATAAAAATAAAAGTTTTTTCGCATCTATACTATTAAAAAGGAAAAGATTTGTTTGTTTTTTTGCATTAAATGGACACCAAAACTGTCACTATTGGGAAGCTACACTATCCCCGGTTGACAGTTTATAATTATTACTAGATTTGTTTTTAATTCTGTGCAGACGAAGTTGTAGGCAACTGCATATGAACATAACATGTTTATAGACTAAAGAGTATTATGGTTGTTTATGAATCGGGTAATCGCGTTATTTGTTTGTGACGCGCATTTACTCAGTCGTCTGTCTGTAATTCGCTTAGGGCTGTCGTAAATACATCATTCTAGTAATTTTTACAATGTCGAAATTAATTTGCAATTTGTTCGATGTAAATGAAGAAATATAGAACTTATACATTTATTATAATCAGCTCACTCTATTCGTTTTTCAGGGCGACTTTTCATGCGTCTTACAAATACTTACACGTCTCAATGAAGCCGTACTAAGTAACGAGCGAGAATTGACAATGATCTGTATTAAAATATATTTAAACTTTCACGGTCAAGAATAGGACAGAAGTAATATTTGAATCAACACAATACCTAATTCCATCATCTTTCTGTCCTTATTAACCACTCAGGGTTGGCACACCAGTTTTTGTCCTATATATTGATCTTACGTAATTTCAGTTGTCACTAGTTCTTTATCGTGTCTTATTCCCTTTCCACGCAATTCATCAATCTCTCCCTAGACCTCCACAGTATGTAGCCTTCTACATTCATATTTTTAAGAAATTTGTAAGAAAATAAAACCAACAATTGTCTTTAATTAAAGGAAGGTCCCTTTATTTGTTGGTACTAAGAAAAGCGAACTTGGCCTTTGATTAGACCAGTGGTTCCCAAACTTATTTTGTCTACTGTCCACTTTGAGAATAAATATTTTTTAGCGTCCCCCATATTTTCACATATTTAAAAACCACTATAACTTCAAATTAAATTAATTAATTATTGTGACCTATATATGTATATTAACGGAGAATTCTAAACGAAACTTTTACTATAACCCGGAACTTGAAACCTGGTCCACAAGGGGGCGTTATCGCCCACTTTTGGAATGACTGGACTAGAGTTACGCAAATTTGTTATAAATAGAAGTTTATAGTTAGAGCTACATTTAGTTCAACTCTAATTTATATCTATTTTATCTTTCATGTAACGAATGACGTCTAAAAGTAACGCGTCCTTGAAATCCTTAAAGCTTTTGACAATGTGTTTTTTGCCTACGATATAAAGTTAAAGTGTCTTTAGAAAACATATGAAGGATGTTCTAAATCTATAACAACGATTAAATAAATAGAATATGAAACACACCAAAATATAAATCTTTAACCTATTCGTACAACAACGGCCTTACATGGTACGAACGTTCGTCTTCACTAACATAATGCTATTACTTGTGAGGTTTCAATTAGTCGGTGCTCGAGCAGAGTCGACAAACCGCACATATAAACCAAACTCAACGACAAATACATTGCTTCAACTAATTTTATAAAAAAAATACTTTCCAGTCTTAGTATTAATATAATTTTAAATAGTGAATAAAATCATTTAATGGTATACATATTTAAAAAAATAAAGTTATATGTTATTAGAAATTGTAAGATGTTTAATCTATACCAGCATTTGAAAGCAAATGCTGAAAGTAGAGGAGACAGGGAGTCGGAGACAACAGGACATGATCGATTCTACCAGGAACGTTCCAGATCAAGTTATAGAAAGAAGAAGAAGAGAGTAGCATGTCGTCGTGCGCAGTCTGCAGCAGAACTGAATCCTCAGTCTATAGCAGCTGCGCAGAAAAGGAATGCATTCAAAATGAGATCTGTCTCTACAGATCGAGATGAGAGTGAAGGTATGATAAAATATATATAGCCGTTATGCCCTCACCTCTATAAATGGATAGGCGATTGCTTCGAAAATAAGATCTTATGCTTTGTTCCAATTTAAACGCGCTTGATGATGTTACGTTACACTTAATTCTATCCATATTATTACTTTGAAATCACACCACCGTTACAAAGCTAGTGCTTTGGTGGTAGTCCACCAGCGTCAAAATTGTGTAAAAAGGCACAAACTACCAGGTATTATAGCCAGTCCATATTATATTATAGAAGTTAGTGATATTTTTAAATCGAATCAATCGCCAATATGGCACAGAATATTACTTCTTATAACCCGTCTATTTGTAGATGTGTGTGTCGCTATGCAATTGAAGGTCGTCTATTTACTTAATGTTTTTGTTCAGATGTTAATAACGATCAAATGTTTATATTCTAAAATAGAAGAGAACTCAGAGCGGACGCCGCTGGTCGCGCAGAAGATTGACTCACTCGCGAAATTGCTGTTCAACAAGTCGTTGATCGGTGGCTCCGGCAAGTCTTCTCCATCTGAACCTACCTCCTCGCCCAAGTAAGTACAATAGCTAAGCTACATATTTCACTCTGCACCTTTCTGTCGTCTTTCAAGGCTCATAGCATTTACCCTAATGTTCTTTATGCAATGATTTCATTCGTGTCCACATTAAGTTCAAAAGACAAGCACTTATCGCTGGTCTGAGATCTCTGTTCTTTGGCAAAAAGAGATAGCAACATGTTTTAAAAGGTGAATTTTGTCTCAGTAAGTTGATTTATTTTCACAGAACAGTTGAGGCATCGTTTGAGAGTTCAGTTGCACTGGCGATATGTTCGGAATACCTCTCACAGACTTCAAGGTAAACACAAAAACTATGTCCACAAATTGTAACCTTTCAGTCTTTTAACGAAGTAATGTTTCTTTTATAAATAATCGTCCCTTTATATTAACCATAAAACATGCAACCTAACGGTATAACAAAATAGAAAATTAATCTTGTAGTCGTGGCATTTTAGCCATCTTTATATTGAGATTATTTGTGACTACTTATAATACTCTTTTTAAATAACTCATTTTTCTTTTAGATATGAATTAAAATCCCAGCTAGGAGCAATCGGGTCTCGTCCGTACAAGCACTGGTTCATAATATACGACAATTCAACTAAAACAGACAGACTACTTTCTTTGGTAAGTTACTCTTCTTAACTCGTGTGACAACGCCCCTAAAAGAATATGAATGCGTCTCACCGGCGCACTCATCAAAATTGCTTTTATTATCTTTGACAAAAGGCACTATAATTTGTGTTGATACTAATGTGACAGCAGTCGAAACAGAACAGAAAACGTACAAATCCTTCCTTGACAATATCAGGTGCCGCTGACAAGCAAGTGCCCGTTGGAGGGCAGCGAGCGGTGCCGGCAGCTGACATGCGAGCTGTTCCGAGCACTTCACCACCCTTACGTGCTGCCAGCGCTTGACATGCGTCTCGCCAGTGGCCATGCACTCACAATTACCCCACTCAACCCTCGTGGGACACTAAAGGATCTCATTTACAAGGTATAGCGGGGAATCCTAAGCTTCCGCCACCAGGAGTGGGGCCACCTGACATCCATTTGCAAAGATATGTCCTCTCAAGTGGTAGTCAGTCAGTGGCACACAATTGAAAGCAAATTGGCCACAATAAATCATAAAATGTGCCCATATGATATTCAATGTTGCATTAATAACAGAGTCCATGGAACGAGGAGTACTGCAAGAAATACAACCAGTTCGGCGTAGGGCTGCCGGCGTGGCAGGTGGCCACCTTCGGCAGACAGATACTAGAGGGCCTACTCTTCCTCAAGGATAAAGGCTTCCCTCCATTCCGACACTTGCATACCGGGAATGTCGTCGTACAGAATGGAGTCGCACGGTAAATTCTTCGTAATCTATCGTTAATTTGTTTGTTCAAAAACAATCCATCACACAGAGAAACAGGAATGTGATTGTTGTTTGTTTCTCTCTCCTAACATGAGATCACCCAAAGTTGTAGGAAGTCAACACAAAGACAACAATACTAATCTTTTTGACGATTTATGGACAAGCGTAATTGAACACCAGCAGTAGACTGTCTTTTAGTCACGAATAGTTGTGGTCTGCTGTCCTTAGGATATCAGGTCTGGAGAACACTTTGATTGGTGCTTTGCCTCGCTGTCCTCTGCTGGTGGTGGCCGCACCGGAGCTGGCTGAGGTGTTGTCTCTAGGCCACGTGCTCTTCGAGATGTGCGCCGGACAAGACACTAACATGGCGCTGCTAGATGACCTTGCGCCTTTATACCCTCATGTAAGAACAATATGGTAGACACACTTGTAAACATATTTTTAAAGAGAAGGCTCGTACAGGAGGGGTAGCTTAGTATACATTTAAAATTAAAATAATTGGCCATGCCTTTTCTAGGGAAACCGAGACAAGTATGTCCCAAATAGTTCGTTAGAAGACCTAGGGTAGCACTAGTTCTATTTACTAATATTAAAGGACTTGCTAGTTGGTTTTTCCATGGAGTTGAGATGACCTTGTATGTTCACTAGGCGGTGGAGCTGATAGACCAGATCTTCGGCGCTCGCACGCCGGCCTTGCACGAGCTGCTGGTCTGCGAGCTATTCCGCAAGATCGACCTGCGCGAAATGAAGGGCTCCTGTCTCCCGGTCAGTATTCAAAGACGGAGTCAACAACTCGTCTAAGTTGTAAGGGACTGCGGGCGAGATAAAATATATTTGTGGCAATTTAATAAGTAATTACTAACGATTTGCAGTTTCTATTTTAACTATTTTTAAGCATGAAACAGTGTCATTGTGTTTTATGAACTTCGTCATGGAGAGTGGATGCAACTGAACTTGTTAATGATATTCAAATGTTTATGTTATCAGAATTTCAGTCAGCGCTTGTCTCGGTCGTGCTTGAACCTGCTGAGCGAGGTGGCACGGCGGCAAGCGGGGCAGGGGGCCCGCGCACGGTCTGGTCCAGCCTCACCCCTCACTCCTCCACCTCGCAGGTATATCACACTAAAAACTATCCACTGACATTTGTAATCTTCTAATATTATAAATGCGAATGTTTAGATGGATGAATGTTTGTTAGAACGACTGCATGGATCACACTGAAATTTTGCATACATATAGAACATAGTCTGGAAGAAAACATAGACTACTAATTATGTTTTTTTTTATTCCGTGCATACGGAGTTGCGGGCGAGTAAAATGATGAAAATAATAGAGTCCTGGTTAACTTTTGCAATATTATTTATATATTGTTTGTTTCACTTCAGGCGCCATTTTCCGGTGGAGCAAGACTTTACCGAAGTGTGGGAGTGGTAATTACATTTTATTTGATTAAAAAAAAATAATATATTATATAATTTATTGCCGTAGATAAAAATAAAAATTATTTTCCAGAAATGTGTTTTATTTTACAACATACCTGACTATTTATTCTTACAAAAAACATTAACGACCGTTAACTTATGGGGTAGGCAAAGATAAAGGATATAATTTGGCTAATATTAAACTATTATATTTTTTATTTTCGATTTAATTTGTTTCTAATTACTTTCTTATATGTTTATATTAATATGGAGCTTGTAATGGTTGAAATGACTCATTTTATTTATTTCTTCAACATAAATCTATGGTCGTTAGTTTTAAAAGTAATTGCATAGCAAACATTTTATATTCACGCACAAATTATCAATTTTATGTTCATGTGTTGGGAAACAATATGTTAACTATAAAATACCTCTTTCAAACTACATTTGCTAAGATAATGAATATTTCATGACATCTCGGATAAGTAATAAATATGTGTTAAGTTAAAAACAATACATACGTCAACTTGAGTGTCGATGTCAGCGTTACAAAATGTCTTGAACCGCGACGCAGTGTACTCAGTTACCATCCGAAAATGGTTACGAAAAATTGTAAAATATTGAATTTTCTCACTATATAGTATGTGAACAAAATGAGTTATGTTTTATAATAAAAATGGCTGAACCACAAATACCCAGATGGGCTAACTTTATCCTGGGTGGATGCAGTGGGTAAGTTTTATTTTACAACAAACTTTATCCATCGTTCTTCTTCTATAATGCTTAGGCAGAGTATTGTAACGGGTCGGTAGACATGTGTCCTTTTCAGTTCAACGCCCTGTTCGTCAATCAGCGGTCATATCTTTTTTATTCCCTGTTTAAATCTATTTTATATTAATTATTTCTTGTAATTTTATTGCAATTTGATTTCAGTTAATCATTGATTATTTAAAGTGATTGGGTTAATTTTATATTTCGACTCTTCCGACAAATAGACATCTTTTGATGAAATCACATTTGTCTATTCATGTATTTCTTCTATACTTGTATAATATTTAAGTACCTGGATGACCGAGCTTTGCTCGGTATTTTTTTTTTACTGTCTTTTTTGGAAATTATATTTAAGTACGCTTTACTAATAAAATGATGAAATATGAATAATATTTGTCGATCTTACCGATAGAAAAAGTTAAGTTTATGTTTAAGTTGTTTATCGATAAAACACGAATAAAATGACATTTTCTAAAAATGATTCCTAGCTAGATCGCCCCCGAAACCTCCTATATACTAAATTTTATAAAAATCGTTGGAGCCTATTTCGAGATTCCAATTATACACACATATATACAAGAATTGCTCATTTAAAGATATAAGATTATTCTAAAAGTACGTGAGAATTTGAATAATTTTTTTCATGTTTCTTAGATCTTTTCATTCACAGTTGAAAAAATTATTAATGTGTCTGTTTGTCTCGTTATCTTTGAATCAGTTGTGACAAGAAAAGCTTACCGTTTGACTAATTAGTAATTAATTCATATTTTGCAATGTGTTATTGTAATTTTGTTGAACACACTAAGAAATATTTTGTCACAATATCGACCTCGAAGAACTGACTCTATACATATGTACTAAATGTCGCCCGCGACTCCGTCCGCGCGGGATTAACATTAGATGTTGGCCGATTATCAGACCTACTCAATATGCTTACAAAATTTCATGAGAATCGGCCAAGCCGAGAGAGAGTATGGGAATGAAAATTGTGACACGAGAATTTTATTTATAAGATAAAATTGGAGTGTCTGTATGTGCTATCAAAAAATCATATGATTATTACATTTTTGTCTGGCTGGTATACTTGCTGGCTTGTACATAAGGCCGCGTTTTTTTGGGTAATATCCGAAACGTCTGGACCGATTTTTACGAGACTTAGACGGGAAGGTAGTTGATGCGGCCATATTACAGGCCGTTTTTTAATCTGTTTATTGATATTTTTAATATAAGTATGATGGCCGCGAGCGTGGTGCATCCCGCTGACCTGGTGAAGACACGCATGCAGCTGCTGGGGCCTAAGGTGAGACTGTCCACGATAGCCGTGGTGCAGAGAATCATCCGCAAGGAAGGCTTCCTCGGATTTTACAGCGGCCTGTCCGCATCACTGTGCCGGCAAGCCACCTACACCGCCGGCAGGACGGGATGCTTTTATTCCCTTCTAGACTTTTATAAAGGGTAAGTTGTTATGTTTTGATGGTGAAATGACATAAAAAGAGCAGGGTATATGTTAATATTAATCATTTTACGATAAAGGAAGTAACAAAAAGTATGGTATAGAATATTATACGAAGGGACTGCTCGCCGATGCCGAGACTACACAGAAGAAAGACGTCAAGTGGAATCATTTCAAATTTCGTCTGATAAGTGTGCCGGATTCCAAATTCTTGTCTCTAATTTCTATTTTAAAAAAATTGTGGTATGTGTAAATATGTATATTGTTGCAGTTACTATGGTACCCCAAACTTCGTGGCCAAGCTGGCGCTGGCTTCGATGGCGGGTAGCGTGGGCGCCGTGGTAGGCAACCCGGCGGAGATCGCGCTTATCCGGATGACGGCCGACGGTCAAATGCCACCGGAGAAGAGGAGGAATTACAAGAACGTGATCGATGCTATCTTTAGGTTAGCTGAAATATGATACTCCAGGTAGTTTTTCACGAGGGTAGTGAAGCAGAGCAGTTAATAGTGTTGTACTGCTATTGTTTGAAAGTCCCATGTTGAGACAGAGCAATGTTACTTTTAAGTACAATGGTAGTACTGATTTACAATCCTCTTACTCTTGACAACTAGTCGCTCACCGATAAATCTTGTTCAGTTCAGTAGTTTAAGTAGACTTGTCTTGCTTATTATGACAGTTGTACATCGTGTACAGGATCGTGCGTGAAGAGGGCCCTCTAGCACTTTTCCGCGGCGTTGCTTCAACCGTCACCCGATCAGCTATCGTCAATGCAGCGCAGCTAGGCGGATACGCTCAGGTGTGTGCTATACGATTGTCCTAAACGATAAAAAAGTCCATTGCTCTCATCAATTGTGTGAGATTCGGCATAAGTCGAAGAAAGCAAATCACATACGTATATATTGCTGGAAGAGTTTGACCTTTCAGGCGCCGAACGGCAAATCCGATTTCATATCCACGACTGCATAATTTTGTAAAACATGGGTTCGCCTACATAAGTGTCTTATGTGAAGTAACTATTTGTCATGTAACAGGCGCGAGAAATGCTGCTGCCGGTGATGGGCGAGGGTATAGGGCTGCATTTCGCGGCCGCCATGATCTCAGGCCTCATCACCACCATCGTGTACTTGCCAGTCGATATCGTTAAGACCAGGTAAATGGGCAATGCACGCCGACAGAGCTAGAGAGAGTAGAGTTGACAGCGTCGTCTTTTGACCTTGGTGCAATATAAATTCGCTAAGCTGATGGCTAACCTCTATTAGTGAAGTGACTTTGTGACGTGACGCTTTTCATGTTATGTTTCTTACAGGGTACAAAACGCATCAGTGCCTACCAGTCAAGTGAAAGTGTTGCTACAAGTAATCAAGAACGAAGGCCCCCTCAAGTTGTGGTCGGGCTTTGTGCCCACGTACACAAAACTTGGGCCTCAGACTGTACTCCTGTTTCTTTTCCTGGAGCAGCTCGTCTCCTTGTATTTGAAATTCAACCAGCCAACACCATCACAAAAGAAAGATTAAAATAGTAAATTGTCACATATGGGCACAGTTAATCCAAAAAATTAACTTCGGTAATCGTTAATTGAAAAATTAACTTCGTTAATCGATAAATTCTTGAAAATTTAACGCAAGTTGATCGTTAAAAGTTAACGTTATGGAACTAATAGTACTTTATGACTTAGAGATAGAGGTAAAAAAACTAGAAGGAAGAATTAAATACGCATTCATTTATTACCTTTATGTTTAAAAAATCATTTTTGTCACCAACAGGCAAAAGTTTAATTTTAATTTATGTACCACGTGGTAGTACACCCTTGGTTATTATGATTCCAATTGAACCCGGAGTCAGGTCATGTTAGTGGCATTTGCATCTCACGTATTAAATAAAGTGTAAAAGTAAAAATGCAGTAAAATGTTCTAGAATTCCATATTGATTTTGTCCTATTATTCACGTCTTTTCCAGACGACCTGTATAATATGTATCACGCTTGCACGCGTTCTTCGCAAACATGAATTATCAACGATTAACGGAGTAAATTAACGATTAAAAAATTTGAATTTAACGGAAGTTAACATAAGCGTTAACACTTTGTGAAGTTAACTTAAAAGTTGATCCGTTAACAAAAATATTAACTTCGTTAATTAACGATTAACGGATCAACGAGTTTATGAAAACCTTTGTAAATATTATTCATCAGCTCGCTATACGTCCTCACTAAGGGGCTCGGAGCCTTCCTAAGTTAGTGACTAGTCAAACACGCTGGCCCAGTGCGGGTTGGTTATTTTTAAATAGTATACTTTTGTACATTTTACTGTGGGTCATCACTTATCTGTGAAATAAAAGTGTATCGTGGAATTTCATGGTTTTTAAGGTCTGTAAATGCACAAATGTAAAAAATATTTTAATATAATCAAAGGTTGACGTTTCCGATCATGGCAGTTTTATTTTTGTAAGATGAGTTTTTTGCTAAGTTATCTACAACCCAGCAGTATAACCAATCGGCGAAAAATCTAGACAAAGTAACATTGGGTAAGTGAAGAAATCAGAAATCTATGGAATTGAAAAATATTCCCATTGGACTGTTTGACCGGTAGGTCAATGCCCAACAGAAACATCCTCTATAACAGCAATTTGACTGTCAATATTTACGGGATTCAAAACGTAAATTTTGAGTTTACTTGCAGTATATAGAAAGTAATAAAAAACACATATATACTTTACGTTTAATTAATAACACAGCCCAAATTAAAGAAATAAAACTAAGAACATTAAAATGAAGCCATTCAGAACCATGTAAAAATTACAGCTTAATATCCGCTTAGTGTAATTAGGATTTGTTTTTAAAGCAGTATATTATAACAATATTTAAATTAAATAATGTAATTACTGATTATTTTATTATTTTGCATGTTATAAACCATCACCAATAGTGTTCTTGTAAAAAAATACAAAAAAAAACAAATATGACGTCATTGTTAGAACAACGACGAATCCAATTTTCTTTTTTATAACTCACTTACCGTTGGTTTCTTAGACCAAAATCTCTGTATAATGTCATCTCTGTCTTTGGATATAAAAAATCATTTTAACAAGGAAATTTTGGTCTAAGAATCTCACGATTAGTCCGGCTAGATAGTTAATGATTTGAAGTTTTTTTTTTTTATATCATAAGGTTGCAAACGAGCGAGCGGCCATCTGAAATCGCTGAAATAGCGAAGTGACCGTTGCCCATAGACATACGCAATTGCATATGCGTTGCCTACCTTTAATCGACGGAGGAGAGGATGCACAAAGAAAACATTTCTATGCATCCTCTCATCCGGAAGGTCCACTTCCACTTCCCATCCTTTCCTTATAAGAAAAAGAGTGGGAAGGAAAAGAGGACTAAATTAGGCCTCCGGGTCGCACACTCATTAGACTGTAGTTGGAATTGCTTCCACTTGACGCCTGTCTTCTGTGTGGTCTTGGTATTTCACCGAGCGAGCCGGGACAATTCGTGCGAAGATGTTAAAGCGGGCTCTACCACTGTTAAAGTTTTTTAAATAGGAAAATTCTTTAAATATGTTTTTTAATCTACAATCATAAATCTATACGTTTTCAATACCCAATAGTAAGTCAACTTAATCCATCATTTATATTAGAATTACGCAAATCATCACAAAATACGTATCGTAAACATAACCAAATAATACTAATAAACAGAACATAATGAGTATACTTATAAATATATTTGGCACGTTACCACATGATATGAAGAAAGAAATAAAACTATCATGTTACTATCAACCGTAAGCCACTTCTTCAACGATTGTCTCCCACGAGTCCGTGGAATCCGTCTCCCAGGAGCCATCCTCGTCATCCTGATCTCCCAGCTCATCGTAATATGCCAACTGGGAAACAATAGAAATTTATATATGTAAAAATCAATTATGTGATATTATTATATGTTTGTCTGATCTGTCGTGATATCTGTGTGTTTGTGCACGCTAATCTTTAAAACAGATCAACGGAATCCGCTCAGAAACCGATGGTAACTAAGCTGTAGGAAGCATTAGTAATAGGAGTTTTTTATACTTTAACTGGACGTAGTCAATTACCTCGTTCTCATGCAGTCTATGCACTGTGTGGACTCGTATCTGGAACATCCAGGCGTGTCCGAGCAGAGCCACTGTGCCGCTGAGCAGCAGTGGCATACTGTACCGGCAGCGCCACGCCAGCCGCATCAGAAACATGAACAGACTCTTCCTGCCACCGCTCATCGTCACTACGACAATACAATTTATAGTTCAAATCGAGTAGAGTATCTTCTTTCTCTTTCTACTCGTTCTTCTATTTTTAACCTTAATTTGGTCACTGCCAAAAAAATGTATACAATTTTTTTTTGTGATATCGTGGAATTTTCTGGAAGAAACCATAACCTCTTTGAAAACAGACGTAAAGTTTTTTTTGTGACTATATTCTATGGATGTCGATGATCACCTCGTTATACTTCCGACTGAATCTGAATACCTTCCAATGCTATATTTATACGTATATTTTGGCTTGAAGAAAATCCTTATGAGTGAAATGACTTAAGGATTGTCAAAGCAAGATTTTTACGACTGTTTGAATAGTACTTTAGGTATGTGGTCTTTTAATACCTGCATGGCCTTTCGCCTTCTTTTGTAACTAGGTGAACATCGACGGTTTTTTATAATATTTAGTCAATATATAGTGCTTTTCAAATATTTCGGCGGCCCAAGGTCATTGGCGCGCTGCGCAATTCCTTTCCGCCAAATCCCGCTAACTGCAAAATTGTGTTCAGCGCAGTGACTCGCGCGAAGTTAAGAGCCGGCGAGATATGTGACAACTACTGATCAATTTAAATTTGACGGTTTAAACATATTGTTATCTCTGTTTTGTCGATGATGTAAGACAGGGACGACAATATGTTTTACACAGAGATTTCAATTCAGAAACCAACGGTTACTCGACAATTATTTATCATACAATATGACGTAACTTCTAATACAATAGGAATGGTACTCAAAGATTAAATAAAGGTGAAGGTTGAAAAGATAACGTAAATAAGATAAAATATATGAATGTAACTCATATTAAAGGGTTTAATGTTAATATGTAGAGGGGTTATTAAAAACAAAACACAATTGATTTGCAAGTTTTTATTGTAAATATGAATTGCATTCATAGATTTACGTTTCAAATAACAATGTGCATGAACCGTCGCCATATTGTGACGTCACAGCTGTCAAATCGAAAAAAGGAAGTGTCAATAAAACAGATTTTCAATGTTTTTAAAAATGCCTTGAGGTGAAAAAATTTAGCAAACATTTTTTGTTGTTGGAATCTGTACTCTTTTTAGCGACTTTCGACAGATCGAATTCATGATCACGCAAATTTCTATTTGAAACATGAAGAATAGAATATTTTAAATACTACATATTAAATAGGTATTGTTAAACTTTGACTTGAAAACAATTTGAACAATTCCAATAATGTAAAATTTTTTCTTTAAACAACTTTTTTAATTTACAGTCATAAATTAAATGACATCAATGTAAAGAGATTGATTGAGAATTATCTACCACATGTTACAAGCCAAAATTCAAGAACCCGTAAAGCCTTAAGTAATTTATATAGGAATGTTAGTTACATATAATAAGCATAAGAAATGATTACATTCAAAGTTAGTTATATAGCACATTTAAAAGACAATTTCTAAGCCATAGAACATGATGATTAAAGAGAATCATTAAGTCGGGTTTTAACACATTCAATGCTCTACAATTATATTACACTTTCAAACCGCGGTAAGCATTAAATGTGTTAAATTAGTTTTACTTTATTCATCATCGAAATAATCAACATGCTCTCCGGGTGTAAACTTTCCAGCTTGGAGTACTTTCATACATTTCCGAGCCGTCATATCAGGCTTTAGTAAAACTCCCTGATTTTTGAATGATGTAAATACATCCCTTAGGTTATCATTTACTGCTTCAGTTAATACATAGTCAATCATAGATGTCTCTACGGGCCCCGGGGAGTAGTTTAGTACCTTAATGTGCTTCTTCTCTTCAGCAAGCACCTTGAAATACATCTCTCTAGCAGCTTTACCACTGCAGTAATAAGCCATACCACTCATTGGCTTGATAGCGCACAACGATGTTATATTAACAATAATAATCCTGTCCTCAACAGCCTCAAAAATCTTTAAAAATTGCGTATTCAAAGATATAACCTTAAATACATTAAGGTCGTAGTATTGTGCGAGTTCATTTGAGTCTTCGATTCTTGCCGTCTCGATAGCCAAGTTACCCAGAGAGCCAACATTATGGAAAATTAAACAAGTTGCAAAATCTGTTACTTTGTAACCTTCAAGAGAATTAACGATAACATCATTCATCTCTTTAGTTGATGCTTTACCCAAATCAATTGATTTGTAGATGGCTTTGACATTATCGGATTGGCACATGGAAGCAGTTTTGGCCAATTCATCAGCCTTACGCGCTAATAGCAACATAAGAGACTTTGGCCCTAACAGCTTTGCCACTTCTGCAGCAATTGCTCGACCGATACCCTGCGAAGCCCCTGATACAATGCAGTAAGTGGGCCCCGACAGATCAATGCTACATGATGAGGATGCCATTATTACTTACAAGATTATTAACTAATTATTTTACTCCTGGAGCAGTTTCTCGTCTTCAGTGTCTCCTATAACAGGGTCAAGGTCGCAGCCTTCTCGTAGTAGACGATTGAGACAGTCAGCTCTATAGGCAGCTAAGTTCTCAACAACTTTGTTCTTAGATCTGACAGCCTTCAGTTTTCTTTCTGTAAAAATAAAACAAAAATTGTTAAACTAATGCCGTTTGCAATTACACAACAATTTTACACAATTATGGAAATAGATTGTAATCATATTAAAACATTTCATTTCAATTAGTATTTAATTACAGTAATTAAATAGAATTTTAAAAGTAAACAGCATGAATAATAACAGATAAAGCATTTTAAGATCTGTTAAATAAATTTATTGACTTATGCAAACTATGTATGTAATTTAAACTCACAAAATTAGACATGTACACACTGAGCAAACAACACATTCAAAGTAACATTTAAATTGTATTTGAACCATGATAACCCTAAATTAAAAGTAAACAACTATATTATCTACAATTAATAATATTTTATACCTAAAATAGCGAGATACTCTGCGGAATCTGACAGTTTCTCGAACACTTCCGAGGGCTTGAAATTATCCTCAAATGCAGATACTTTAGACTCGCTTACAACTTCGCAGCCCCACGGATCCATCAAACTCTGTAATAAACGTGATTAACAAGACAAAGATAATATAGTTATCAAGCAAAGAGAACTTTACGCCAAGTAGGTATAAAAAATAAATAGGTATAACATAAAGTTAACTGTTTCTAAGAACTTACTTTATTGCAAATTATTAGTTTTTAATGGTTGATAAATCGTAATTACGCTAGTACCTATTGGTTTATCTCAAATCATGAGACATTCAATCTAGTTATTGTGCAAAAACTTGAAGTAGGTACGCTCTAAGCTCAATGTAAACTTTGACATCTGACAACTCGAATTCTTTCAATCAATGAAGTTCCTTACAGATTAAAAATACTTTTTTTTTCAATTAATCGATAACTGTGAATAAATGTTTGTTTTCATTGTTATTATTATTTTTGGATTTGAATTGATTATTGAAAAAAATCTTTACTGTCCTCCACTTGGACTACACTCCATTATTTTGTAATGTTATGTTCATCACTACGGTTTTTGTTTTTATAAAAGCGCCATCTGTAATCCATCTAAAGAAATAGATTGGCGATAGCGAACTCAGTATTGGAATGGCGATAAGAAATTAGTTTTTGTGAATTAACCTATGATCCCTATCCTAGCCCTTCGCCGCCACTCGGATCCGCCAATATTCCAAACCCAGATGTTACCAAATGTCATATCGCACAGAATTATTAGTAACATTTTGTTAATCACTTGGTGCAAATTACATTTAATATTTTAAATCCTACTTTTATGGTATAAATTAAACACATTGTGGAAAGTTAGCAGAAAAACGAAACACAAGGATGTATGAAGATATCTATCCCCAAGCTCCAGGACCCAAATCTAAGTGTACAATGCCACAGGCCCAAGAGAAGAATGGTGAGTGATGTACGCTTTATGAAGACAGAAGATAAATGGTAAAAACTAAAAAGCATTTCCTTCTGATTTCATTCTTTAAATAAGTTAATTTTCTCTCCTAAAAAGTGACTAAACCAAAAAAAGGCTGCCTACTGAAAATGCCTTAGGAATAAATGAAAATAAGCCTTAGACCAATGCAACAAAGTTGCTAATCAAATAAAAGATGTGACCTGCCATTCGCAAAATAATGTTGAACACTCCAAATCAAACTATATTCAAACGAGATAAGTACTAATTTTAAATGAGGTAGTGATAAAAGCACTTTTCATGGAGCTGCGAGCGAACGGTCTCACTAGACGCAGCCGCCCCTCCCCGCGTCCCGCAGCACTTCCCCCCGCACCCCTCGATGCCCCGCGCGTGTCGCGTTTGCAAAGATTAAAAGAAAGATACGACTTTCATTCAACCACGTATTTTTATAAAAGTTTTCTTTTTCTCTAAGAGGCTATAATGCCAAGTCGTAGCCACTTCTTTTTCTGTAAAGTTAAAATTGTTTAAGAAAACTAGTGGTCGCCCATTGGTTGATTTTCGACCTTATTCATCTTCATTTTTTTATTGAAAACACACTCTATCTCCATGTTAACTTTAACTATGTCAAATTTCACGTACATGCGTTGGTGCAATTTCCTTACAAAGGGCCACAAAGTTTTAGCTTCACCTAATTATAATTTTTATAATGATAACTTTTTGCAAATTGTACAAAACTTATTTTAAAAATCTTTAAATTGTTATTAATATCATCCTCTGAAAAGTTATTATTTAACCTAGTAACAAATGGTGAATTTTATTCTTTGGGCGCAGCTCGCGCCGCCATTCTGGATATTTTGACGGGAAGGTCGGTCACGTGACGCGGCGCGGGGCGTGCGGGCGCGGGGCGCGGGGCGCGGGGCGCCGGCTAGACTCTCAGTAGCCGAGCCATCCGTCTGCTGCTTCGACTGCGGCCAGTCGCCAGTCGCCGGTCGCCGGACTCCACGCCCTCGGCTCAGCCGCGAGCTCGTTACGGCTCGCTATTTACAAGGCTACGCTGCGGCATTTTTCCTATCGGATTTCTTCGACGGATCGAGAAGTGAAGTGTGCGCCGCATTGATTCGGAATAGGATCGGGCGACAGTTATGTGAGATTCGGTTCGCGTATTTTTGCACGGTCGGGCGACGGGGCGGGGACGCCGCGGCCGGGCCGTCGCGACGGTCGGGTCGCGCGTCGCGCGGCGGCGGCAGACATGTTCGCGCCGCGGGCGGAGCGAGTCGCGCGGGCCGGCGCCCGCTAGGGCGCGGGAGATGCGCGCGAGCGGCCACGAGCGAGCATGGATGTAGTGACGCCGCACATCAGCTCCGTGCTGAAGACGTACCAGGCGAGCGCGCCGCGCAGCCTGCAGGGCCCGGGGCGAGGCCGCGCCGGGACGCCCACCGCGCCCGCGCGTGCCCCGCCGCCGGCCCCGGTGCCCCGCGCGCCCGCCGCGCCGCCCTTGCTGCTCGCCCCCGACCCGGTGGTGGGCGAGCGCGGCGAGACGCTGCTGGAGGGCGAGCCCATCTCGTGCTTCAGCGTGGGCGGCGAGCGGCGGCTGTGCCTGCCGCAGATCCTGACCTCGGTGTTGACGGACTTCAGCCTTGAGCAGATCAACCGCGTGTGCGACGAGCTGCAGATTTACTGCTCGCGCTGCACGAGCGAGCAGTTGCACGAGTTGAAGGCAACGGGTGTGCTGCCGCGCTCGGCGCCCTCGTGCGGCCTTATCACACAGACGGACGCGGAGCGGCTGTGCGCTGCGCTGCTGCACGCGCCGGCCGCCGCGCGCCCTCACAAGTTGCCCGGCTTCCGCGTCTACCACGAGTGCTTCGGTGGTGCGCGGGGCGTGTGCGCGCCCGCCCTGGGCCTGGTGCAGTGCGCCGAGTGCCGCGCGCTGTACGGGCCGCGCCGCTTCGTGTGCCATTCGCACGCCACCGAGCACCGTACCTGCCACTGGGGCTTCGACTCGGCGCGCTGGCGGCGCTTCCTGCTGGTGGCGGACGAGGAGGCGGAGCAGGAGAAGTGCGGCGCCTTGCTGGACGACATGGCGGCGCGCGACCGCGACACAGCGCACACGCACGCACCGCTCAAAAGAAAACAGGTCAGTACCACACTACTTTCATACCATGTTTTGTTCTATCTAGGTTTTCTTTTATCAGGATTGCGTAGCGTGCGTACATACACATTTATGGAAACATATTCTTTGTATTATTTCTGGTGCAATAACTTGGGCGTTCATTAACATGATGCCTATACACTTGCCGTATATGATTTTACATCGTCTGTGATCTCAGTGATCGTGCATGAGTCTATCTATCTATCATGAATAATACCTATAATCTATAAAGGATGAAACCAGCCATCACACAGTCTTGCAATGGAATAACACGTACGCTTTCTCCTCCTTATTCCATGATTAGAAGAGAAGCGCGTTGACTTGCAGCTAACGAGCCTGTTCCTAGCACAGATAAGATTACGATGTCTTGATGGATAAATATTGCCTATTATGCATATTTCGAAAAAAATCTAGGACCTTTATTTAAGCAGATAAAAACAATATTAGATATAGTTTGATAAACCGAAAATATGTTCTTCTAATTAGATTCTTCCTGGCCTGGTTCAGTCCACTCTTTGCAGAGATTACCCGGAACGAACGCTGTCTTTCGGACAGACAAAAACGTTGAAATTCGTTTCTTTTTATTTTAATATTAGTTACAAACACTGCAATTTAATCTTTATAAATCTTCGTTAGTAAAAAAATATAAATTCAAATTTTTATAATTTTAATTTTATTAATTTTCTTTTTATTTTCTTAATGAAAATTGAATTAAAATGAATATTATAATGTTAATTTTTATAATTAATGCAACAGGAAATCTTTTAAAATGTTATTTACGCATTGTGATTTTAATTGAGGTTATAAATAATATTTAATAATAGAAATTTGTCTTTTGCATTTTTCTTGTTTAAGAAATATTACGTATAATATATATGACGTTAGGTATGTACATACGAACGACTCCTCGGAATATAGAAAACTTTAATAGCCTATGTGCTCTTCCAGACAAATTCCACCAAAAACCGTTAAGCTATTCTGGAGATACCTTCTAACAACCATCTATAAACTTTCGCATTTATAATAGTTAAGTTAGAAGTAAGATTTATATTTCAATTTATCAATTTTATATCGATTTAAACTGATTTTTTAGCAATATCTTTTGACAGTTTTTCTCGTTTATATAATAAACGGTCGCTGTTACTATGTATCGTAAACTAAAATATATAAAAGCAATAAAAATAACGAGATTAGCATTTATGTGGGCAAACCCTTGTAACGCTAAAAGTCATAAAAATTTCTTGTTGGGCGACAAAAGAAATCATATAAGATTTTTTACTAACATCATCTTTATAACAAAACAGCCAAGTGTTAATTTAGTCTGAACATATCTTCTTTATCTATCTGTGTATATATAAAAATCAATTGCTGTTCGTTAGTCTCGCTAAAACTCGAGAACGACTGAACGGACTTATATTCTTGGTCTTGAAATGTTCGTGGAGATCTAGGGAAGGTTTAAAAGGTGAGAAAAATTCGAATAATTGCCGGAAACTAATTAAGTTTTTTTTTCCACGCGGACGGCGTCGGCGGCGACAGCTAGTTGTGGATAAAAAATTGTTTTCGACTTGAATTAATTGATGAAGGAAAGATTTAGGAATGTGAATTTAAATTGTTGTAGAAATCTGTTTGGAAAATATCAAAGGATTATCGCTAGGTATAGATTGAAAATTGTCCGGAACAAACGCTGACTTACAATCAGACAGACGGACGAACAAAATTTTGTTTTTCATTATAAGTAATACATTCATGAAAAATATAAATTTTGCGATATAACAAACATATACTCCAGATTTTATTATCTGTATTACAAGTAAATAATAATTGTTTGCTGTTTGAAACGTTTTTATGACAATTACTAGCTGTCGTCCATCGTCCCTCTGCGCGGAGTGATAAAACTTAATTATTTGTCCTTCCATACAGATCTACATCTATGCCAAATTTCAGCGAGATCCATTCAGCCGTTCCGGAGATATCTTTCAACATCCATCCATCCATCTAAACATTCACATCTATCTATATATGTAAAAGAAAGTTGTGTTAGTTACACTATTTATAACTCAAGAACGGCTTTACCGATATGCTTGAAAATTGGTAAGGAGGTAACTTAGAACCAGGAGACGGACATAGGATACTATTTATTCTTTTTATTTTTCGGATTTTGCCTTGAAGAGATGCTTTTTATTTAACTTATCTGTATATTAATTTTTCTTATATATCCACGCGGACGGAGTCGCGGGCGACAGTTAGTTTATAATATTAGTAAGATTAATGGTATACAAACAATCTTGTCAAAGACTAGACTGTATGTAGATAATAATTTTTATCACTATTATTTTAAAGGAAATGTACTCGCGAAGGTTGAAATGACGCACAACGGTCTTCGTCAACAAATATGGATGTTAAATAAGTATTAATTCATATTTTAAATGTAAAGTATTTAATATTAATCTAATTGGAATTATTTTGGTACTAGCTATCGCCTGTCACTCTGTCCGTGTGGAATAAAAAAAATAATAGTCTATGAGTCTTTGCAGACTATGTTCTACATCTATGCCTTATAATGAGATCCATGCAGTCATTCTTAAGATAACTTATAACAAACATCCATCTAGACTTTCGCATTTATCATAAAAGCAATATAGTAAAATAAGAATAAATTATATCTAAAACAAGTAAGAATAGAAATACAGTATAACCTGGATAAGCAAGAAACCTTTAAACTAGAGTCGTTGTCTGGTCGCAACGGATGACCATTAGCGAGAAACTCGGGATAGAAACATCGCTGTCTTTTCGGCTCTTGCTTATCCAGGTTCGACTGCTTTTACCCGAAATTAATATCACACTGTATATATAATTTTTATCATATCTAGTGTATTAAGGCTAAGAAAGATTGATAATATATTTGGAAGTATATAAAAGACGCAGTTTATGATACGTTTTTGTAAAATAATCTTTAAAATAATTGTGTTAAGGTTGATAGTACAGATTAATCGCTTATTTTGTTCTTTACTATCGTACAATGTATTTTGTTGTGTCTGTACAGTATAGGTATTTTACATTATCGTGTGACGCGTAACGAAAACAATTTTATCGGTTAGAAGAGAGGTCAGCTTCGTGCTATTTTGTTCCCATATTATTGACAATATGAAACATTTTATAATCTTAGCATCGTTAAGTCAACCCTAAGTGTACACGAGATTTCTACACTAAAGCTCTCTAATAGTTACTCTGGGTAGTAATAAGCTTTAGGTACCCCTCCAGTTAGCCGTAAGTTTTGAGGTATAAATTGATAAGACGTTCTCGTTATCAGGTAAAGTGCATGGCAACTGGTTACTTATCATATAGATACGGCTGCCGTTTGATTATCACAATTGTACGCGTGAATTTTTTTTCATATGCAAAATGGCCAGTTGAAATAGCGCAGCGAAAATTGCCCATAAACATACGTAGATGCCTTGCCTTTTATCGATGGCGGGGATGCACAGAAAGAGAATATTTTTCCTTCTCATGCATCGTCACATAAGAAAAAATGGGTGGGAAGGGAAAGAGGACTGAAAATTAATTCTCCGAGACGCAAATTTAGAATTTACTAGTAAATTAGTACGTTATTTTTTAATATCATAAGGTGGCAAACGAGTGAGCGGCCACCTAAAATCGCTGAAATAGCGAAGTGACCGTTGCCCATAGACATACGCAATTGCATATGCGTTGCCTACCTTTAATGGACGGAGGAGAGGATGCACAGAAAGAAAATATTTTCCCTTTCCATGCATCCTCTCATCCGGAAAGTCAACTTCCACTTCCCATCCTTTCCTTATAAAAAAATGGGTGGGAAGGGAAAGAGGACTAAATTAGGCCTCCGGGCGCACACTCATCAGACGAAACGCGGAATTGCTTCGCGACTTGACGCCTGCCTTCTGTGTGGTCGTGGTATTTCACTGGGCGTGCCGGGACAATTCGTGCGAAGATTTTAAAGCGGGCTCTACCACGTTAGAATTTACTGCCAATTTAGACCGATGGTCAACCATATGTCTATTACATAAAGCGGGCAAAAATATTAACACGTTATCGGAGTTCTATAACCAACATGTTCTATGTCATTTTAGACAGTATTAGTTGGAATCATTTGGCGCGAATGACGTGCTTTCGTTACAAAGTCCAGTGTCAGAATGATTAGTGAGGGGACAAACGTTGATATTTTAGTAAGGCTAGTGTTGGGTGAATACACTGCCACAATGCTAGTTGCTAAAATATTTCTAAAACTAGATAACAAGTTGCAATACATACGTAATGACGTAACAGTGTTACAACTGCTCGTATAGAACGCGTATACACTTAGTTACAATGATATACTTCCGACGGAGTGAACTGACAGACCGACGGACCGGTCAGTTTTTTTTATGTAAATATCTTTAGGCGCCAGACCTGCCTCTTCCGCCATAGCCGGATTACAACGTCTGTGAAACAAATTGTTGCGTGTTTCGCAGTTTTATAAAATTCTTTTGGAAATACAAAGAATTGTATGCAATTATAATAATAATTTAACATATTTTAATTGTAAAGTCGTACTTTTTTAATTTAGACATTTTAGGCAGACGTTGGAAATATGAATAGTCGAATACAATATTAAAAGAAGTTGCGCAATAAAGAGGTATATTCAAAGTTTGTGCATTATTAATGTGTAAAAAAAGTTATATAAATTTTGATTTGAGGATCCGCGTCTGTCAAATTATGTTTTTTTATCCATACATGTATTTGTCGACTCACGTTTCGTATTGGCTTGATTTACTCGGCTATCAAAGTTTTTAGTTACGCGTTATTAGGTATACGATGTTTGACGCATGCGGTATTTCGTATTAATTGCGCTTAGACATCGTGATGTTTTTGTGATTTTTTTTTATAAGTTGATAATTTTTAATCGAATATTTTTGGATCTAGACATAGTTTCTGACAAACCTAATAATCGATTTCCATCTCAAAATTAA